CTTTGAAGTTTCCCACACTCAATTTCTTACCCATTTCACTTCCTCATAATAATAACTTTCATTTTTCATTATCGCCGATGTTTCAGATTTCTTTAGCTTATATCTCGGTTAAATGATAACTGATGGACAAGAAAAGACTACCAATACACTCCCCTAGACTCAGACTACAACCTTCGGTAAGGAAGTTAAGCGTAATAACAACTTTCATTTTTCATTATCATTTGCCTATATTGACTACCAACCACCAACTACCAACTACCAACTACTGAGCACTGACAAATACAATTCCCAAGTTATTTCAACCCTACACCAATGGATAATACATACAAAGACAGAATTCATGTCCATTTGAAGTACCGCGTTTCAGGTTTCGGCACTCGACACTTGGTGATTTGTGCAATGAGTAGATGGGCATGTGGCATACATGTTTTCGGGCTTCAGGTTTCAGTATTCGGCCCTTGGCACTCAATGATCTGTGTAATGTAAATGAACAATGAACATGTTGCACACTGGGTTTCGAGTTTCGGGTTTCAGCACTTGAAACTCGGTGATTTGTGCAACAAGTGAAAAATGGAAATGTTGCATACATATTTTCGGGTCTCGGGCTTCGGGTCTCGGCCCTCGGCACTCGGAACTCAATGAATTGTGTAATGTACATAAAAAATGGACATGTTGCACACTGGGTTTCAAGTTTCATGCTTTGGCACTCAAAACTCGGTGATTTGTGCAGTAAGTGAAAAATGGACATGTTGTGTACATATTTTCGGGTCTTGGGCTTCGGGTTTTGGCCCTCGGCACTCGGAACTCGATGATCTGTGTAATGTAAATGAAAAATGGACATGTTGCACGCCAGGTTTTGAGTTTCGGGTTTTGGCACTCAAAACTCGGTGATTTGTGCAATGAGTGAAAAATGGACGTGTTGTGTACATATTTTCGGGTCTTGGGCTTCGGGTCTCGGCCCTCGGCACTCGGAACTTGATGATCTGTGTAATATAAATGAAAAATCAACATGTTGCACGCCGGGTTTCGAGTTTCAGGTTTCAGCACTCGAAACTCGGTGATTTGTGCAGTGAGTGAAAAATGGACATGTTGTGTACATATTTTCGGGTCTCGGGCTTCGGGTCTCGGCACTGGGCACTCGGAACTCGATGATTTGTGTGATATAAATGAAAAATCAACATGTTGCACACTGGGTTTCAATTTTCACGCTTTGGCAGAACTCGAATCTGTTGTGATTTAGATATCACCCGAAACCTGAACACCTGAATGTCAAATTTTCAGTGCCGAACCCCGAGTGCCGGGTGCCGAGTCCCGAAACCCGGAACTTAGGATTTGACATTTGAGATGAACGAAAATTATCAGACATGTTTGAATTAACCTACGTATATCTATAAACATTTCACTAACCCCCAAACCCCGAAAGATATTTGTGTTGTCTTACATACCGAGTTCCGAGTTCTGAGACCCCCGAACCCCGAAACCCAGCAGTCCACAATTTCAGGGTTTGGGGGTTGGTAAAATGTGTATGGATATATGAAAGGTTGATTTAAACATTTTTGAAAGATGTCTCATATCAAATGTCAAGTCCCGAGTTTTGTATATCCATAGACATTTTACCAACCCCCGAACCCCGAAATTGTGGACTGCCGGGTCTCGGGGGTTGGGGGTCGGCACTCGGGACTTGGGAAATTTGGGGAGATCAATAAAATTTGATCTACAATAAATTTGATTTACAAACTTTTGAAAGATATCTGTGTCGTCTCACATATCGAGTCCCGAGTTCCGGGACCCCCGAATCCCAAAACCTGAGACCCAGCAGTACACAATTTCAGGGTTCGGGGGTGATCTACAATAAATTTGATTTACAAACAAATTGATTTACAAACTTTTGAAAGATCTGTGTCATCTCACATATTGAGTCCCAAGTTCCGGGACCCCTGAACCCCGAAACCGGAGACCCAGCAGTCCACAATTTCGGGGTTCGGGGGTTGGTAAAATGTCTATGGATATACAAAAGGTTGATTCAAACATGTTTGAAAGATGTCTTACCCGGAACACGGGACTCGATTTTTGAGATGAAAGACATCTTTCAAACATGTTTGAATCAACCTTTCGTATATCCATAAACATTTTACCAACCCCCGAACCCCGAAATTGTGGACTGCCAGGTCTCGGGTCTCAGGAGTCCCAGAACTCGGGACTCGATATGTGAGACGACACAGATATCTTTCAAAAGTTTGTAAATCAATTTGTTTGTAAATCAAATTTATTGTAGATCAAATTTTATTGATCTCCCCAAATTTCCCAAGTCCCGAGTGCCGACCCCCGAGACCCGGCAGTCCACAATTTCGGGGTTCGGGAGTTGGTAAAATCTCAGGGTTCAGGGTTCGGCACTGTGAAAATTTGACATTTATATTTTTGCGAGTGTTGTGCTTCTGGTGTCTGTGTGTAGAAATAGGATATATTGCACACCAGGGTTCAGGTGTGGGGTTTTCCCACTTCAGTACTCGATTATTGGTCAATGCTACACATGGTCGATTCATGTTTTCGTGCTTACGGGTTTAGATTTCGGTGGTCGATGGTAGGTATATGCACTCATAGTGTGCATGTATCCTACGTGTTTGATTTGCTGGTGGCTACATCAGCTGTATGTCTTGATGAAACGTATCTAGGCTCACCCATATATGTACCCATCTATGTACAATTCCCCCACGTCAGCCCACCCATCTATGTAATATCCCCCATGTCGGCCCACCCATCTATGTAATACATCCTATGTTGGCCCACCCGTCTATATAATTATACCCCACCTCAGCCCACCTGTCTATGTAATAAATATTTTATCACACCCTCGGCCCACCCGTCTAATTAATATCCCTTATGTCGGCCCACCCATATATGTGATATTCCACCACCTCGGCCCACCTGTCTATGTAATAAATATTTTATTGCACCCTCAGCCCACCCGTATATGTAATACTCCCCACGTCGGCCCACCCATATATGTAATATGCCCCACATCAGCCCACCCGTTTATGTAATATTCCCCTACCCCGGCCCACCCGTATATGTAATACACCCCTGTTGGCCCACCCGTCTATATAACAATATTTGCCTTACATCTCTCTTCAGCCCAGCTGTCTATAATATCCTACTCTACATATTACCCAGATGGGTCCACCCATCTCCATGAATGATCATATTCCCCCAGCCCATCCATCAACATCAAGGATATATATATCATTGGCATACATGGGCCCACCCGTCTCCATCGGAAATAATATGTTACCCGGCCCATCCGTCGTCATCGAGGATATACACAACATGGGCCCATGGTCCGCTGGCCCATCTGATACAGGATATTATGTAGGTTGGGTGGCCCGTATAATATGGAATTTGTCACTGAAGGGGCTCCAACGATCAGAAATGTAATAGTAGACGGCCGATACCCGAAGAAATACGAACTACCTTGAAAATCTTCGAAGTCAACTCCATTTCCGTCATTGATATCACTGTCCATCTCAGCGTCAACATCAGCATGATGTCGTGGAATCTCTACGGAGCAGTATTGTGAGTTGGTGAGGCTTTGAGTCAGGTTGGACTCAGATGAACCGTGAGACGCAGACCCTGGCTTTTGCTTTGCCAGTGATCGGCAAGGGGCGATTGGTCTTGGACAGCCGAGTCTCTGAAGCTGCATGATGAAAGATTACAAACTAGGTCAGAAGGACAACTCACATGTAAATTGTTCACAGACTTGGACAGGTCCGAGTCACGGTTACCAGTAGAACTGCCTGCCTGCCGGTGAATGGAGGTTGTAGTGGAGTGGGTAAAAACTGCCTCCTTTGCCCGTTCCAGTCTCCTCTGACTTGCAAGGACACTGGACTTTTTGTAGAAGTGACAACTAGCATGATGCCTGCTCAGTCCACGGGCGTCTGTTGCCCTCTCCCACGAACACTGTGAAGCCCCGCAAGACACCATTAACAAAAGCAAGCTTGAGAGAAAGGCGATCCAAAGAGACTCTGCAGCAAAGCGCATTGCACTTTCCGGTAGGTTGCTAACAAACAGCAGCTACCAAATAGGACTCAGGTTGGCACTAAAATGATGAGAACGAGTACTACTATAGTAGTTTGAAAGGGTTATTATGCGGCACACTTTTGCAGTAACGTGAGCAGCAGCCTCGTCTGCCGCATCTAGTAACTTGTCACATACTAGACTCCCATTGTCATGTTTGGCCATATATAAAAAAGGATATTTTACGATCGGAAAAAGGTCCAAACATATCTTGAACTCCATGTACTACAAGTGAAAGTGGGACAAAAGCCGACAGTCAAACTAGATGGATCAACAACACCACATCAGGAGGAACCACCATGTCGAAACTAGTAAGAGTGAAGGTTAGTAACTTGGAGAGGATGAGAATATGACCTCCCGAGGGAGCGACCACAAATTTCGCGACCTGCGTCGAACATCAACACCCTCTTGTGAGATGCCTGACGTCAGAAGGAGGTCCACGATCCCGAAGCTAATAGCGACGGTTAGTGACTTGCAGAGGATGAGGACATGATCTCCCATGAAGAACTTACTTGTGATATGTCACCAATGCCTTTGGAAACAACGATAGACATTGCTTCTCGAGTTCGGTCATCAGAAAAAAATCCTCCTTGAAGTTAACTGGTTCAACCTGTAACCCAGAAAAGTACTGGTGATGGTCGGCTGGAAATCCTAGACACCGTTTCGAAATAGAGAAGGTTGAATCATGATATGCTAACCATCAACTTGATTTCCCAGAACGCACATTGCAGCTCACCGTGACATAGTACACATGTAGTCCAACTCCGAGTCTGCCACCTTCCAACTTGAATATATACCTAGTAACAACTCGAGTCTGAGTCCAGCCTGAGTGCACCCTCTCAGGCTGGTGTATTTATATCACTCGCGGCGCAGTCCTCACGTCAATAAGAGGTATGACGTCTCGTGTTGCCATATAGTTTGCTGCCATCTCAAGAGCAACCAATGGTAGTCAGTCTGTTCTGGTGGAACAAAGGAAACGCCGAGGACATCAACAATCAAAAGCCCAGCCAACTGTCAAAGCCCGACCCAATACCCCAAAAAACACTCACCTAATGATCCTCCCCACATCAAACTTAACATCAAAAATATGGCTCACATGCAAATCCCTAAACTCTCTCACCAACTTCCCAACACCCCTCTTCTCGCTCATACCTGAATTTCTATACCTGACGACGCCGTCCGCGACGCCTACTATGCTTGCTCCGTCTGTGTCGGATGCGTAGATCGAGGTTCTGGCATGTGTTGAGTTGCTGGTATGTGTTGAAGTACTGGTGTGTGTCGAGTGGAATGACAACGAGGAAGAGTTTGATGAGGAAGAAGAGTGCAAAATGAAAGAATCAACATCTACAGCAGGTTCCCTCCACTCCCAAACCCTAACACTCCTATCATAACTCACACTAACCACATACCCAGTCTTCGGATCAAAACACAATGCGCGGACCAACAACGTATGACCAGCAAAAGTGTGCAGACACTCTCCTGTAGATGCGCGCCAGAGCTTGATAGTGCAGTCATTTGAACCGCTTAGGATTAGGTTGTCCTAGTCGAGTTGTATCAGTAAAAGGTATAATTGATTGATTGATTGCCAACGACCGATGACCTATGACCGACGATGACTACACTTCGGGGACGTGGGAAAGAAAAATAGAAGAAACACACCTTAGACTAAATACAAGCCAACCCCCTCTCATGCCCCTCAAACACCCGTTCACATCTCCCACTAGCAGCATCCCACAACATCATTCGACCATCCCCACTGGCACTCACTACTCTCCCGCCTTCGAGTCCGATAGCGTTCACGGGTCCTTCATGGCCTCATAGGACAGCGTGTAAAGTGAGCATAGATCGGGAGTAGACGTTGATCAGTGCGTCTTTGGAGCTGAGTAAGGAAGGCGTTAGCATCGGTTTGGATGACGACGTGTGATATCGGGAGGATCAGATATGGCTAGAAGGGGAAACTTACCAGCTAACGATCCAATTCTCATCCATCCTCAAATCCAATACGCCCCCAGAATGGCCACGCAGAATCGCACGTACATCAGCCCATATTCCCGAACCACAATGTTTTGCGTATAGGTCCCAGACGCGTACTGTGCAATCAGAAGAACCGGATACCATCATTCCATGTGATTCCTCCTCTTCCCCCTCATTCGCATCCTCATTGGCACCACCCTCCTCTTCTTCACTATTAATAGGCCCGCGAGAAAAAGACCAGCGCGAGCAAGATCGCTTTGCATCAAAGTCCTTTTCAAACTTTAAACAAAGCACACTCCCCAAGTGAGCCTCAAACGTCGCAAGACACTTGCCAGTGCGGATACACCACACTTTGATGGTCCTGTCCCTAGATCCTGTAATGATCCATCGCGAGTCAAAGTCGAGGCAGTAGATGCTATGGGGGTTGATCAGTCATTAAATTTCAAACTCAAACTCAAATGCAGAGGAGAGGAGATATAACTCACCTGTCACCGTGCCCTTCAATTCGCATCACCCGTGGCTCACCACGCGGATCTCACCACCGCCTTTTGAGTGTGGCATGAGAGCGGTAGAGGGTGTGCCAGTTAAGCCAGAGAGGTCCTAAATTCGTGCCTCTTCTTAAGATCAGATCCGCATAAGGGATGTAAATCGATGGTCGGTTAGCATTAATTTCTTCATCTATAAAAATGCCCCTGGAGCGTCCGCTGTGCCGCAATGCCTTGACTCGATCCCAATCTACAGCCCAGCCACTAGGCCCATCTCCCTCCACATCTTCGGAGTCCTCCAAAAGCGAGAATCCATATACACCTTCATCTGCGTGGGCATAACACAGCAACAAGATATCCGAATCTGAATCGTCTTGAGAAGAAGAGGAGGATGAGCCGGGTAAGGAATGAATAAGAAGACATGTAATTCACTGAAGACCCGAGCCCATATGCAAAGTTGTGTGTATAGGAATGGTTGTATGGGCTTTGATAAGGTGCGCGGGATCGGACTCTTGGACGGCCTTCTCTTCCTCTCCACACACTGAGCCAGACACTTGTGTCTTTGGCTAGGGTGTAGAAAGAGTGAGATATGAGCATACAGGCTAAGACTGAACGCATCGGGAGGAGGGAGAAAATGTGTAGGATGAGTTCTGGGGGAAGGGGGAGGGATAATTTAGCGGGGGGTAGGTATTGCGCAGAAGTGAACGTAGAGGTGGAGGCTGATGTGTATGATGTTGGGCAGAGGGTGTAGGCTTGGGAGGGAGTTTGAGATCGAAAGAGACAGAGGTGAGATGAAGTTGGGGTGGTGGTGGTGGGAGAGGGTGATGCGGACCGTGTATATGACGATGGGGACGCTAAATGTTGAATGTTAATTCTGTATTAAGAAAATCTGAAGAATCCGTACCTGTGAGATCGCATTGAATTGCATCAAAATAACCTTTGTGATCTACGAGTTCACCTTCTTCACCGTCAAGTGGGTCTAATGCACTGTAGTCTACGTGGACATCTCCATTGGTATTACCCTGAACCCTGGATTCACAATAGAAGACACCTGATACTGAAGGATGTTTGGTCTTGCGCTTTGCGCGCAAGATATTAGGGGATGACCTAGGAAAGTGCCTATGGGTTGGCGATGGATGTTTGAGTATAGGTGAGGGCTTGCTGCCTCGAGGAGATGGAGAAGAGATGCTTTCCCAAAGCTTTGTGATATTAGGACGTACGCGGCGTTTTGTACTGCCTCCCGAGGCTATGCTGTGACTTCGTAAATGGGTAGAAGTGCGGGTTGGAGATGTCCGGAAGAAAGGAAGGGTGTTTCGCCCTTGCTGTGCTGAAAGGAATTGAGAATGATATTGAATATAGGAAGGACTGCTTGGAGGTGAGATCATGCTAAAGTCTGCGGTTGGTGCTGGTGAAGGCGGATGAGAGTGTCCTAGCGTAGCTTGACTGAAATCTAATGAGAGATTAAAATTAATGTTTAAGCGCAAATTTGAGTGCTCTTCTTCTTCTTCCTCATCGGAGAGCTGGAGAACATTATTCGAGTCCAGAGAGAAGACCAGCAAGTCTAGCGTGAGCTTGTATGGACCTGCTATTGGCTGCTGCTCATCGTCAGAGTGAGACTCCGGAGTGGCCGTTGGAGATGGATGAGCTGTATAGTAAGGTGTCGAAGGCGAGCCTCCACGATAAAAATCAGTGACTGTCTTCCTAGACTCCATTGTCAGTAAAACCAAGGTTGTGTGTCGCCGGCCTTATTTGTAGTCCCTGTTAGGTAGACTGCATGCTACTGCGGGCATGTGTCTGCAGGCGTCTGCCCTTCCGATTGCCTGAGTCTCGCGTGTTCAACCACCCCCACGTGACTTAGACACCATTCAGGGGCCCACAAAACTTCAAGACTCCAATCTGACTTGACTTATTTTTATTAGGTTGATTGCCTGTGTGTGACGCTCCACTTCGGTGGTGTCAAATGATGGGCTACTTTTTGAGTGTATGACACCTGTAGAGTAAGACGTCAGCTGAACCGGTCAGAGGTGAACATACTATGATTACTAATGAGACACATGTCGCGCCAGCAGCCGTGGCTACTACAAGTACAAAGCCCTCCTAGGAGGAATCGGGGACTACTGCAGCTAAACACTGTATATAAATAAAAGAGAAAATTGTATGAGAAATGGCCCCAATGGGCCTGCAGGACTAGTAGTACAGCCAACAAAAAAAACAAAGCTACGGCATCTCAGTATTGTAAGTGATAGGACCGATTGTCACCTTCCTGCGACTGACTAGGCACGGGAAGGGGCGGGTTATAGTTCTCTTGTCGCATCCCGTGTTGGTGCATCGACTCTGCTAAGTCAAACCTCATCTCGTGTCCAAGGTACTGCGAACTGGCACCGGGTTGTGAATAGTAAGAAGGGCCTGTGAGCGAGTTATCCGAGTCTGCAAAGGGGGCATTAACAGTGACTCGGAGCCTCCTGCAAAGGTGTGTATTTGTGAAAACTGGGAAGGAATCTCCGAGTATGGCTCAGCTCCTGCCGAGCACACTGGCAATGGCGCGGGTGCAGTGGAAGATTGCGAGATAGGAAAGTTCAACTTCGACCTGAACAAGTCAAGAGGCTGAGACAATTCCGATGGCAATGAGGGTATATAGATGACTCCAGCAGTCTGATTGTCTTGTAAGAACTTTGTCGCTGCCTCCCTGCAAATGCATAATTAAGATGCTGTGCACATATAGGCCGTAGCAATTACTCACATCCCTCTTACGTGGAGCTTGAACAGACGGCTTTTGAACAGCTTCCCATGAACTGGATGCGCGGAGGTGCGCTCCATGTCTTTTACAATATCAAAGTACCAACTTGCGTACTTGTTCTTGCTGAAGCGGGTAGCACGTGAATTGACTATTTTGTCAATTGAAGCTCGCAGCTAAAAATAATACGGGACAGAATATTAGTAGCTATGCACATGAGAATGGCGTGTTACTCACCGCAACTGCTGACCACGCCAACAGCGTGACTGGAGTCGTGGTTAAGCTGCGACTGAAAGTCTCGTCACAAAGCGGCGATTTAGTGTCCCTGTACCATTTTTGGATATGGCCCTCTATCAAATTTTCGTTGTTGAACATGAGAAGGTCGACGGTATCGCCAGTGATCTCGTGACTGTGGAGGAAGTTTGTGAAGAGGCCTGCCTTCGACGAGTCAAAGAGTACTTTTTGACGCTCTTTCATATATTCTTGGCGGGCAGAGGCGGACAGCTGAGAATCTTCTGGTGGCTTGATATCGTACAGTGCTGCATAGTGCTCGAACGAATCGACAAGCCTGCCACGACATGACGAAAGCGACTGAAGCAGACTGGCGGACAAAACATCTGTGAGAATGATGTCTGGTTGTGAAATCAGTCGCTGGTGATGCGGCGTGCAGGCTCAGGATGCAAAATGACATACTGCAGTGATACTTCTGGTTAGCTTGGGCCACAACTTCTCTAAGATACACCTCTACCGCAAACTTTTCTTTATCTGTGGACATCGATAACCAGCCCTTAACCGTGATCATGTCTATTTCGAGCTTGCTGTGCATCCAATCGACAGCGGCATGTTCAGTAGGTGGATATTCTACTTTCGGCACCTCTCGCTGTTTGCCTTTTTTTCTGCCTTCTGAACCGCCCTGGATACTGTCAAGGTCATTGTATACTAGACTGGTGACCAGCCCGTCTATGAGGCAAACCGTCGATAGACGGACTGGTAAAACTGGGTTTGAATTTGGATCAAGCGCGGATTCTCAGGATAACGTGACCTCTAGCCAATAAAAGAACTAGGGTTTTTCAATAAGTATTGTAGAATACAAAATAAACGATATAGTTTTCACTAATTGACGCGACGCGACGCATCCTCATATGTGCTGCAAAATCAATGGACCAGCAATCACTGATACAGGGAATCCACATCGCATCACTCGATGCTCTGGATCGTTTCGCGCATGATCTTATCAAAGAATGCCTTCCCACCGACTATCTTCAGACACTCTGTGACTCTGACCGAACACATGCTTGATTGTGTACGTGTTGACGGCAACAGCTATTGTTCCACAACAATTCCAGCTTGAGGCTGTTCTTGCGACATTGGACGGTCAAGACACCATCATAACTGCAGGCACTGGCAGTGGAAAAACATTATGTATCATAATTCCTATCCTACTCCGCCCTGGCACCATTAGTATGACTATTTCGCCACTCAAATGCCTCCAGGCCACCCAGGTAGCTTGGCTGGAGTGTAATGACTTTGTTTTTGCACATGCAGAATTATGCTATTATCACAGGTTCTTGAATCGACAAAATATGGCATACCTACGATCGCAATCAATGAAGACACTCCGACAGATCTGTCTCTCTGGGAGGTAAATTCAAAGTTCAGGCGTGCCACATCAGCGTCGTTGTCAGTGCACCAAAACTAACATAAAATATCTTGCTAGTCTATTCACGCAGGAAAATTCACTCATCTCATTGTTTCACCGGAGCAGCTATCAATGTTCAATGGTCACCTTCCGCGCCTTGCACGACTTCTCCGACAAAATCGTACCTTCACTCAACACATTAAGCGTGTACATATTGATGAAGCACATAATATTTATACCGCAGGGCTTCCGCATCATGGTGAAGAAGCATTTCGACCTGCATATGGCAAGCTTGGAGAGCTACGTGTGCTACTTTGCAAGGGAACAACATTTCAGGATCTTGACAACAGATTTCACGTGTTTGTGAGGTGAGAGACGCGACGGAGTTGCTGCGGCAGCCGCAGGGAGACCTGTCGTAATGTCTATGAAACCAGAGTCAACAGATCGATTAAAGTTCTCATTGAGAACTGTCGAAGAGACTGGCATCCTTCAAGTAGCAGGTTGAATACATAAAGCAGAATAAATATACATGAAGTGATGGAATGAGTCTGATATGAATGTTAAAACATTATTGTGTCGAACGTTACAGCACGCACGTCGATCAAACTTAGCGATACTTGCAAAGGCCTTAGCAAAAGTTCACGTGGTTTTGCTATTCCAAAAAAGGTTTATACATCACGTTATCCTGAGAATCTGCGCTTGATCGAAATTCAAACCCAGTTTTACCAGTCCGTCTATCGACGGTTTGCCTCATAGACGGGCTGGTCACCAGTCTAATCGTATACTAACAGCCCGGATGTGATGTAGTCGGAAATCTGGGACTCAGAATTTGTATGGGAAATAGTGCTACTGGGAGCACTTTCCCGAGGATAGGGATGGCCCGGGCGCCTGTCACAGTGGGTTGATCGTTCAGAAGGCGCCGCTCACCGTCTGTCGGCAGCTGCTGACTGGTCTAGGTCGAAATGGATCGGATTGATAGACATAACTGCTGAGAAGAGTGGGGAAACTTGAAGGTGGACATTCAGTTAAATAGTCATCGAAAACCGTCGTCACGGTACCATGACTCTGACCACGACCACTGTGACAAAAGTCTATGCAGACGTATTAGAATACACTCGCCAATCGTACTTTTCCCAATCAAGGGCTTCTGCATCACAATCCTCCCAATCAAGTAGTGCACAGTGATTAGTCACGGTTCACGGTAATGTGTTGGAATCCAATTTACCTGGCCGCTGCAGGACGCTGTCAGTACATCAGTTAAACGAAATGAATATCGCACTGTACTAGTAATAGTAGCATCTTCCATCAACTTCAACATCGATCGGGTCCATCAGACTCGGTTCACCGTGTGACACTATGATTGATTATGATTTGAACGGGGACAAAAAAAACACCAAACAGTTAAGGTTTATCACATAGCGCAAAACATTCTGACTCACTGGCAGGACATCGAATTACCAGGCCCAATACACCGCCACCGTGACTAACTTGCACTCCAGCCTGCGGCTAGTACACCTTTAATATTTAATAGTAGTAATACATAGTATAACATACCGATCATTGCCGCAATGATTCAAGGGCTAAATTCAACTAAAATTGTAGTACCACCGGTCACTTAGTTTGAATGTCCGAATTGGAATAGCAAACTCACCGTGACTGTTGCATCTCCACTAGCCGCATCTCCTTGAATCATCTGAATCATGTCACGTACTTGTGCATTATCATTGTTTGCACTGCTGCGATCATGATGAGGCGGCCATCGCTGTGACTTGCCCAAGTAGTAAGAGAACTTCTATCGTCTTCCACTGGCTCGTGTATGCGGCGGCAATAGTACGATCATCTGTTTGGAACTTCCAAGTGAATGATCATAGCCACGGTAGTAGTAGTATTATTAGTACCACCAGACGCAAACCAGATGTGATGGTGACCTACCGTGAATAGGAATAGTGGTCCAGACTGTGACGGGCGGCGACTGGATGCCTCCGAGTTCGGATTAGTGTACTGGCCGCACAACAAAGTTGAAGTCAAGCAAGCTCTTCCAAGTCTTGAAGCGTGCGGGTGGCCACTATCCAAGTCATTGTCGCATCATCAATTTTTCGGTACCTGAGAGCCATAGAGGTACTTACTAGTGTTTACCTGAGCTTAGTACATGCCAGTGAACGTCACGGTACTTAGACGGCCGCCATCTGACTTGGATGACTTTACTTTGATCATGTGATCGCAGACCTCCGAACTATTACCATAATAGTACCATGTGGGAATAAGTATATGATCAATCAACAAGTGTCACGAATCGTATACGTAGGCTCTGAAACAACTTACAGTGCAGTGTCATGTCAGTCATGATGAGTGGGTCTTCGAAATCTACAAGCAGTGGTTTTTTTTCTGCAATATCCAGTCTCACACAGCCTAGGTTTGTCATCTGTTCGCTTTTCGCTTGATTTCCACTCACAATAGTATTTGTCCATCCCAGGCAACCCCCATCCACCGTGACACCTCCCACCTCTGTCGATCCGAGTAGCTCTCCTATCAGGAGCAGCTCTCCCGTGTTGCAGGACAGCTTTGACCCAATGGTCACCGACTTGCGTAATAGCCCGCCTGCCCTTGCCTGTGACAAGGGTACCAAGTCCGTTGTAACCACAAAACCTAAGCGCCGTAAGCGCTCTCATGTCAACTATACCTTGTCTCAAGGTGGCGACTGCGACGAGGATCTCGAAATACCCTCAAAGAGATTCAAGACATTGCAAACAACTGTGAGTCACAAACTTGTTTAAATCATCATTTGAAATCCGATTCTTTTAAGTGGAATTGCACCGACCAACCTTCCGAGACTTCAATATATTTCAATGAACGCATGCTTGAGCTTTCCCGTATCACTCGCCAAGCTTTTTCCGCGAGAATACGATACCAACGCCTTCGTGACCATGAACTGGACCTGATAAAGTCCCTCCTGAAGGATGAGAAAGAACTAGTCCAAACACATATGAAAAAAATCGATCTGCAAATTGGCTCTCTCCAAAACACACTCGAGGATGCGGGAGTGACGGAGATAGGGAACAAAGGATGTAGGTTTGACCCTAGCAACCATGCGGATTGGTGTGAAAGTGATTCTTCTAAAGATGGATCGATTCTTTGTGAATCTGATATTGGGGAGTCTGAGTCTGTCTCGGGCTGTACTACTTTAGATTGATATCAATGCTACCATTGTCGTACTACATAGTACTATCTGTCCATACGTAGAGTACCATACAATACATCATATGCAGTACTACGTGCCACATATATATTTATTCATTTATGATGTGTGCCGTTTTAGTTCTACGTGAGCCTGCGATCAAACAAGTGCTTACTAAGCCAGCGAACGCGTATCGTAAGACGCCGTTTTTCCAACACGCGTCTTTCATCTCATTTTCATCTCGTTCTCATCTTGTTTTCATCTTGTTTTCATCTCGTGTTTGCTCGCCTAGATCTCTTACCTGCTCACCACTTCCCAAATACCTCTGCTTCACACTCGAGGGTTTCTGGCTGTGTCTTTCCCCAGCCTGAGGTCGATTCTTTTCGCGCACTTTTTCTCGTGCGCATTCAATCTCATCTTTCACCAGCTTTGGACGATTATCTCTCTTTCTGTGCCTTTACTTGTGCGCATTTGATCTTGTCTTTCACTCGCTCTAGATAAATTCCTCACTCATCTTCTCGTCGACCCTGCGGATATCTTTGTCTGCACTGCCCAGCAAAAGTCGAAACAGACCACAGCCAAAACCCCACCCCCCAACTGAAGAAAATTTGTATCAATGCTACTCGCATCTAGTCTTCATTGAACATATCATTTACAATACTATGTTTGTCTAGTTAGATCACTAGTCGAGTCTGCGAAAGATTAATGCACATCACGCCAACAGCTTCGTTCGCGTTTTCGCAGACTCCACTCCCCTCGTAGCGCATCAAGCAATAGTAAGCAACCGTTTCAAGGCAGCCTGGCTCACCAGCGAAGTAACATGAATGATCTGCCATCATGACTCGGATGTAGTACTACTTACTAATCATAGTCTCGGACTCAGGCTTCTGCATCCACATCCTCCAAAGTGCATCCATGCTAAATCTCAAATGGGTGTGCTCATCGTGAGCAAGTCCAGCTGCAATTGCAAATATTCCCTGACCCCATCGTGATGACTCGGCGGCGGAAGTGGGGTTATGGGGGTTCTGCTAGTCATGGTGAAGTCAGTGGTGGCCTAGGCACCTGTATGTGTTACTAAGCTGAGGCCTAGACCCAATCATCAGGGAAAACTCCGGATTTTGCCAAGCGCTCGCAATCAAGTTCCAACTGATGAAATTACTCGCCATCATTGCAATCGCCTACGAGCACCCACCATTTGTCCACCTACATTATAACCCTGTTGCAATTTAGCTGCAATACGTGCAATAGTTATACAGATATGTGATCATCAACAGAATCCTGGTACATATTGTGTCGTTCTTGCAATTCACTTGCAATCAACCTACCTGGTGCACCAACAGTGACTCGGATCACTACTACTACTAAGTCATGGTAAGCATCGGTATGGTAAACACTTGTTTGGACTGACTCGGAAATTCCAGTTACGAGGCCTGAGGCCTGCCAGTGAGGACCCAGCCCGTGATTTATTTATTACCAGTCAAACACAGACTCCCCAACGAGGATGCGAACCTCTCGACACAAATAATGTGTCTCTGTTTGAACCACCTCCAGCGTACCAAATCTCTGAACCACCAAATCCTTCTCCGTTACTCTCTTGTGGCGCAGGAACACTATACCGAAGTCCAAACCGCGTCCATGTCCCGTGCCGCAAAGTCTCAAAGTACAAGTACGATATATAATGACTTCATCAAAGACGATGAACTTCGTTCCTCTGGCTGGCTCATTCATCGGTCTGCATCAGCCAGTACGTTAGCTGCAAATACTAGCATCCGCCCTCCAACCACACCATCTGCGGTTTCAGATTTCCGAGTCATCGAGGAGGTCGATCCTGCGTTTAGCATTGCAGACAGAGCCATTGAATGAATGTCTGAACCGTCGTATTGCCAGTGGTGCCAGACTCAAGTTAACTATTTGTTCCGTACAGATTCATAATACACTGATATACTGTGGCTATGATCCGGCACTGATGGCACCAAACATAGAAGTTTTACTGTCTGGAGCAAGTTCATGCCAATTTGTCTCGTGACATCATCCCTCTAACTTTGCACCAGGTTCCACAACATCTGCCATCACCTCACTAATACTAGTGCCTTTTCACCACCGTCTAGGTATACTAGTGCACTTTTCCATTCACCTACCGATCTTTGGCGTACTAAGCGGGTACATTTTCCTTTTTTGTCCAATTTGTGTCTTCACAGCCACTTCCAGATCTATCATTATCTATCATTAGAATACGAGGGCCGTAACATTTGTCCACTCTGCTTGAACTGCCATGTGGAGCACTCATGGTCCCGGGCAGTTGGCCAACATATAAAATGGGCTGGGGCTGAATTAAGTTTCTGTTCATAATCTCACACTTCCACTTATTCCTTGTGTTTTTCAGCGAACCTTCTTCCGTCTTCCTCTTCATGTTGTACGCCAAGGACAGCATTCCTCACTCCAAGGGCAGCGTATATTGTACCACTGAGGGTAGTATGTCCGAGCCAGTCATTCAAACTGAGGATCGGCAGAGCGACAACGGCCTTTGGCGGCCTTCTGAACCACTAGGATCCCAAGTACAGCCATCGTTCACGGAGGCTCAACAGAGACGGAAGATTGCCGAACTGGAGAGTAAACTCGTGGTCTTGAAGTCGGGGCATGTGGTAAAAGAGAGGTACGTACTGTCATTTTGTGTCTATTGCGTGTGCCTTGTTCACCATTTGTTAGGCAGTCAAATTACTATTTGGCCCAAGGATGAGACCTCAGGCGTATTGTGGCTTTATTCGACAGTATTGAGGATCTTGTCAATGAAAACGATAGGAGATATGATGACGACAGCGACGAGGATGCTACTATCGAGTAAGCTTTCCCCCCTTGCTTTACGGTGAACCTCACTGGTTTTATGTAGTCAAGATCATTTGCAGATAGGGTACTGTATCCTAACGAGGACCTTGCCGTGGTTTCTGAAGAACTCTTCGGACATAGACCATGATGATTACATGCGCATGTTAAAGGCGGTGTGCATGCTTTTCCGACTAATGCTTGGCTTTATCATATTGAATCTTTATCTAGCTCAGGCAGGGGGCTGACGGTGCCCGAGGCAATGATACAGCAAAGCTCAAGACTCTTATTTCAGACTGGGTCAATCGCAAGCTCAAGCCGAACCCCCCCATTGATTCTGATGATAAAAATTACCACAGATTCACCAGTGACGCGTGCAGGAGGTTACTCTGTCCGGCTGAACTTGACTGGAACAGCCCAGCGTATGTAGTGCACTCAGTATCCTGCATGACACTGACTTGTTTACTAGAGTTAAGGCAGGGATTCGAGATCGATCAGAGGGCTACATTGTGACCGACCTCTCTTTTCCGGCCTTTGTGTATGACAAGTACACTGCCAATGCAGACAATTTAGAAGAAGGTCTTTTTAAGGGCAAAATTTTACTGCAGGTTCATGGCACTCGAGTCACGGTTGCCCGAAAACAATCTCACTGTTGTCTGCAGGGCTACAAAGCTATATTCACATCTCCGTCTTCAGCAAAAGATGTCGAGGGCGACGGTGACGGTGCAGATGTCATCGCCAACAACCGACGCGCCAAAAAGTCATCCTGTGGAATAAAAGTCAAGAAACACGTCGCGCAAATCATCAAGATGAATAAAGTCACACCCCGCTCGATTGCATATGTCGCCTGTCAAGTAAGTCATCATGATAGTGTGTTTCAATCCGTCGTAAATGACCATTACACTGGGAGGTACGATTTGCACTTTCTTCAGTTACCTCTTGGCGGTCCATTGACGGTGACTTCGACTATATTCAATTCTGGTGGTCCATCGTGGACTTCTTCGAGAAGCCCCCTGGTCGAGAAGTGCAATGCAGAGTCAATAAACTCCTTGAGTGGTGGACAAGGTGCAGTATTTACAGTAATTTCAATCAGCCCAGAGTAATGTTATGTTGTTTAGAAAGGTTTTTGGAAGGAGCCGCCGCGAGGATCTTAGTAACATGGTGAAGGCCAACATGTCCGTCAATGCCCTCGCAAGGCAGAGGGCACAACTCGATGATGCTGCTTTCGATTCAAACTAGGCATACACCGTATTACAATGTTGTTTCCAAGCTACCTTACTCTTGTACTTTGGCGTTAATAATAACACAATTTGTCATGCTTCATATTTGCCTTGTGAGACATCCTGAAGGAATTAGCAATATCACACTGCTACCATTATCCAGCAATAACGGAAGACTTGTAGACCTCATCGACAAATATGAACAATCTCCGGGAAACAATCCAACTGGTATTTTCCGGATCCGCCTGCGTGTTTTGAATTGGCTGAATGAAGGGAATGTCAAGTGACCACGGTGTTCTGTGTTTTCTAGTAGTCCTTGCGGCAAACGCTGCCCAGAAAATGTGGACTCAAAAGACGAAAACGACTGATAAGATATGTTGTATTCGATGTCCGCTGATGTCATATTGAACCATGTGACAAGTTGATTTGTCGTCGGCTTGGTGAGCATATTTGGCTTACTGCAACAAGGTATATATTCTTCACACGCTTTCCTAACTGATTTACGGTGGAACATTCTTGTACATCTGAAGAATTGATGTTGACAATTGAAGTGGGACATAGATTTATGTTCAATCGCTCGGGAGAACGCTTCCTCGCCACCTGCAAGTGACTAGCCTTCATTATTCCATGGAAATTGACATGCTATTGAGAGAAATCAGACATTTCCGAAGATACTGTTGAAGTCTGGAATAGGTCACGAAACTTACTATACCTCCCTCAGGAGAACAAATCCTCATCCTTTGCAAGTTACTAACCTTCGCTCTTAGCTTCAGGACCGTGGACCTCCCTTCTGACATCAAGCATCTCACAAGAGGGTGCTGATGTTCGACACAGGCTGCGAAACTTACGGTTGTCCCTTCAGGACATCATGTCTTCATCCTCTGCAACTTACTAACCTTCACTCTTAGCTTCAGGACCGTGGACCTCCCCTCTGACATCAGACATCTTACAAGAGGGTGCTGATGTTCGACGCAGGTCGCAAAACTTATTGTTGCCCCCTCTGGACATCATGTCTTCATACTCTGCAACTTACTAACCTTCGCTCTTAGCTTCGGGACCGTGGACCTCCCTTCTGACATCAGGCACCTCACAAGAGGGTGTTGATGTTCGACGCAGGTCGCGAAACTTATTGTTGCCCCCTCGGGAGATCACGTCTTCATCCTTTACAACTTACTAACCTTTGCTCTTAGCTTCGGGACCGTGGACCTCCCTTCTGACATCGGGCATCTCACAAGAGGGTGTTGATGTTCGACGCAGGCCGCGAAACTTATTGTTGCCCCCTCAGGAGATCACGTCTTCATCCTTTACAACTTACTGATGTTCGCTCTTAGCTTCAGGACCGTGAGCCTCCCCCCTGACATCAGACATCTCACAAGAGGGTGCTGATGTTCGACGCAGGTCGCGAAATTTATGGTCGCTCCCTCAGGAGATCATATTCTCATCCTCTCCAAGTTACTAACCTTCACTCTTAGCTTCGACACGGTAGTCCCTCCTTCTGATGTGGCATTGTTGATTCATCTAGTTTGACTGTCGGCTTTTGTCCCACTTTCACTTATACCTTGAGTTCGAGATATGTTCGAACCTTTTTCCAATCGTAAAATTTTGTAGGAAAATCAGGGAATATCCTTTCCTTTATATGGCCAAACATAACAATGTGATCCTCGATAGCATAATTATGGAGGTTCTTGTGATTATCTACTATATAATGTCATATATACCTTTCCCATTTCTGCACCAGTTCACTGATGGACTTATTCATATATTCTACAAAAACAAATCTTTGAATCAGAGTGCTTGAAAAAAAATAGATATTAGCGCTACATACACCTGATAAACAAATGAACGACATACTACCACGACCAGATTTTGAACGCCAAAGTGTTCACTCTAAATACTGACACATCGATTGGGTTCTCGAGAAACAATGCCATTCACTGATGTAGTTACTCATTTCAACTTGTTCCAATGTCTACAGCACTCTTTCGAAAGACCACCTGTGCTTTTCGTCACCGGTGTCGGATCCAACGACGAGCTGCTAAGTTCTCAGCAACGGTAAATCTACGTTGGCTTATGAACCTTACCGGAGCATTGTCGACTGCATCCACAGCTCCCCAAAACGCAGTTCCTATATCATCCTGAATACTGGATGATTCGGTTGATAAATAATTCGACTCGTTTATGAAATGAAACACAAAGAACGAGGTGGAACTCACGTGTATCCTGAGTTGGTTCGTTGAATGATCCATACAAAATTATATTTCTGAGCTGTTTGCACCAAGTCGGCATCCCAAACAGCTTGGAAGTCAGTAGCATCCACAGGAACCAAGGATTTGGCGTTCTCTATGTCTATGTGTCTGTAATCCTGAACGATCCACTTCAAATGCGATATGTATCGAAACAGTACACATAAAACGTGGAGCACATACACGCTGGCGAGAAGAATCGGTCCTGATATTCACGGTCAAAGGCTGATCTGGACCGTTGTAGGTGATCGCAAGCGTTTCGTTGGTTGGACAGGGAACCCTGTTAACGATGACATAGGTGCCCGGCTCGAAAGGTTGCGTCATGATTGCTGCGTGAAGTCTGAGTGGGAGTTGGGATGTAAATTGGACGAATGTCGGTTGGTGCACTGGCAAGCATTTTCATGAGGCTTTATAGTAAGCTGGCCACAGTGATCTGAAGACGCATATGCGTCGGTTGGCTTGAACCGGACTTTGGCAGCGACAATTGTCCTTCACAGGCTGAAACATTCAGTGTACACACCGCAGACAAAATTTCCAAGTCCGGCAGTGGCAAATACAACAACGTGACACACAGCTCAACAATAGTACTCAAATATTAATTCAGAGACTATCCACAACTTTGAGCTGCAGCTGTGTTCACACTGAAAATATAAGACCAGAGTCGGAAAATGCTCAACATTAGTCGCGATCAAATGGTGAATATACAAATTGGATGAAAAATGTTAAATATGTGGGCATGGGCTGATATATTGTTAGATTCTAAAGGACATGTTATCACGCGCTCTGAGATACAATAGTTATGTTAAATGATCAAATATACACTATATATTTCAATTCTGATCTACATTTGACGAGAGAATAGACATCGACTGCGTTAGACGAGAAGTGGGCCACAATTTTGGAACTGCGCTTAGACAATACTAGGAGGCGCACTCGGTACTCAGTACAGTACTTCCGGAGCCACTTATTGTTAAGTGCTGACGGCGATGAACACTCAACCAACCAACAACTGATGGAATTAGTTTTGATGTATCAGAACAAAATGGTAAGCTCAAGTAATAAATGGCTCCGACGGGCGGTCAGCCACCTTTGTCAGTGAAGTGGCGAAAAGAAAAGAAAAGCTAAACCGACGGAATGCACGGGGTGAGTATTAATATTAATGGTCGACGCAGCGGAGGTGTGAACTTGAACGTCACGCTTGTTGTTCGCTCAGAGACTTGGATCCGCCCGATCGGGACGCACATCGAGGTCAGGTGACTTCCCGCTGAGGCGTCGACATAAAGTCAGTTTAGCTGGGGAACATGACCTACAATTATTATACGCGTCCTAATTCACAGCCTAAGCGGTCATAATACTAATACATTGATGGTTCTCGAGAAACAACGCCATTTACCGATGTGGCTACTCATTTCAACTTGTTTCAAGGTCTACAGCACTCTTTCGAAAAACCACCTCTGCTTTTCGTCACCGGTACCGGTTCCGATGGTGACCTGCTAAATTCTCAGCAACGACAAATCCACGTTAGCCTATGAACCTTACCGTAGCATTGTTGACTGCATTCGCAACTCCCCAAAACACAGTTACTCCACCATCTTGAATACTGGAGGATTCGGTTGATAAGTAATTCGACTTGTTCATGAAATGAAACACAAAGAACGAGGTGGAACTCACGTGTACCCTGAGTCGGTTTCTCTAATGGTCCATACATAATTATGTGCTGGAAGTACTGTCGCGCAGTCGGCACCCCAAGCAACTTGGAGGGCAGTAGCATCGACAGGAACCAAGGATTTGGTGTTCTGGTCGTAATCCTGAACGATCCACTTCAAATGTGATATGTATCCAAGCAGTACACATAAGACGACGTGGAGGACATACACGCTGGTTAGAAAAATCGGTCCTGGTATTCACGGTCAAAGGCTGTTCTGGACCGTTGAACGTGATCGCAAGCCTTTCGTCAGTTGGAGAGAGAACCCGGTTAACGATGACATAGGTGCCCCGCGGAGGTTTCGTCATGATTGCTGCGTGAAGTTTGAGTGGGAGTTAGGATGTAAATCGGATGAATGTCGGTTGGCGCAAGTATTTTCATGGGGCTTTATAGTGAGCTGGCCACGGTGATATGAAGATGCACATGCGTCGGTGACTTGGCTTAAACCGGACTTTGGTAGCGATTGTCCTTCACAGACTGACACATTTGTAGATCCTTGACACACCTGCAGACAAAATTTCAAAGTCTGGCAGTGGCAGTCCATCGATAACATACAACATCGGGTGCATTTCATGCACGAATAACCGCCGGCTTGCGGATCGGTGGCTATTGTATCCAACATGAGGACGATGTTCTAGGTATAATTTGCAATCGGCCAGGAATACTTACCTTCATAGGACAGGCCTTCCAGCCACATCATCAGCAGAGCAGGCGAAACAGCAATTCTGGCGGTCCATCAATGGAGTCATCAGCGAATCTTCCCAATAATTAGGTTTGAAGTTTCCATGATGGCTCATTGGTTTGCGCTGATAACTGATACGATGGGGGTAAGATGTCTAAGCGGTAATTAACTTACCTGCCTTGTAAGTTCGAACTTCAACGTTTCAACAGCCAGTTCGATGGAGACTTCGAGTAGCATCGACAAATATTATTGTTGCTAGGCGTCCGAGTCAGAGTGGAATATAAATTATATAATTTCACGCATTAGGAAGGTGTGCCGCGATGCCGGGTGTCATGAATTCGTCACTGAACAGAAAGACTTACTAGTAGTCTAGTATCACACATTTTCTATCTTATTTTTCTCCAGGATTGAAATATATATTGACGTCCGAATATCTAGCAAGTCATCATCTTAATGAACACCCGGGCACACTTGTTCTCTCCATCTCAGCTCACCCCCCACAATTTCTTCCTTTCCAAACGCTGCAGCGAAGTCACTTTCTACTACTCGCAGAAGGCTGTTACATCCTACGGATACAACGGTTACCTCACCCGGTTCATCTGACCATGTCGTCATATATGATTTAGGCCACCACGATTTTGATACCGGCAGAGAGCAGCAGAGATGATCACCCAGTATTCAACGCCGCAATTTTGTCGACGTTTTTTGGAATGGCTGGATCCAAGGCATACGATTATGCATATCTTTCAAACTAGTGAGTCGTGGCTCACACCGCGAGTCCTCATACTCACTGTATTCTTGTCAAAGGATGTTATTTTATACGTTCCAGGTGCAGGGTCATGCACTTCATCACTTACATCACGACCGTTGACGCTACCTGATCCCAATGTAATCTCAATATCATCGAAAGACACTAGGGAGCTCGCTATAAGCAGAGAAGGAGCCGGCCTGAACAACATCACTCATCACAGTAGGTACCATGGCGGGAAGAGTCGAAGGAGGGCTCAGTTAACCTGTGGCGCACAGATCCGGATGCCACTGCGACTCTTGACGCTACAAGTTTGTCCATGAGTCGGTATTCAAGGGTTCTTGGGGCGCATTTTGTCGTAATTCACGCCCTCTGAATCTACGTGTATGTTGGCTGGTACATCTTTGATACTTGATATGAAGTATGATGGACAGTCAGAGTCATCCGCGGAGGTGTACCGAACCTGCCTCAAGCTATCTATGAATATACCGTGACAAAGCTTCCGCGACCGACTTTTCCTTCAGTACCAACCAGCGTGGTCGATGTTCGAGTTCAGTCAACATACACGGCACCTACTGCTCTGTCGCCCCTTAGTTCATACCCAGAACCACCATCTTCCGGGGAAAACTCTAAACGTATAGAACATGCTGAGCACCACAGGATGTCATCTTTCAAGAGGGTGTCTCACATCCCGACATGCTCTTTTCGCTCTCAGACATCCCAAGGATCAATCATCTGGAAGACCTCGGAAGATCAAGTTCACCTCCACTGTTTTTCAGCTAGACGGGTAGGGAAGTGCGAAATTTTGTTATTTCCATCGTATTCTGATTATTCGTTACAGTTGATATCTCTTTCAATGCTTTCATCGTTCGACATCGTTTGGTGTGTAATTCTTGTGTTCTATCATACGAACTGCTCATGATACTGAATGATATCATCGGCTAAAGCTCGCTGGTTAAAATGCGTTGTTTTATGCTAGATGAAATTGGTAGTAGGGCCCTTTTAAACATTAGCTCGGACGGGGGGAAGTGCATTGGTTTAAAATTCGGGAATGGTTTTTCCAAAACTTTGAATGTACCAAGTCGCACGATGTACGGTACCGACCGTACGAAGAAAATCCCTTCTCTCCCTTGGTTCACACATAATTGGGTGAACCTTCCACCTCCGATGAATTGCATATGTGAAACGGTAGCAAGTGGGGGCTGGCTGGTGGAAGCACGCCTCACACCAGAACGTTCATGAACCTAGAGGCGTAGCTTGACCCCAATGCCATTGGCCGCGGCCTGTGCGCGTCGTTGCGCTGCATCGTCGCTTCCTCAACGTTCAACTCGATACATTCGAAAGCCACTGCATGCCCCGCATTCCATACAAACCGTTTGTCATGGACAGTGAATCAAAGACAACCTCTCCTGCGACCCACATATGCAATTACATTCAATGGATATCTGGGTGTGACGTGAGCGCGAACCGTGATTGACTGATCTCTTCAACGCTCACGGTCAATTGTACACAGCGTGGTCGAGAGTAAGACTCGGAGACGCTGTCTATTTGCAGGGACAATGCTAGTACTGTATTTATTGTAAATAGAATATTTATATTGTCGAAGAGCCGACCGAAGGGGTGTTCTTGTATATATATCTAACATACCTAAGGACGGAACGATTGATCCCTACTTACGCTTAGATGGTAGCAAACAGTCACAGATCAGTAATGCTCCTCTAAATGCATTCAGCCCAATTAAAAAAAAATCAGCGTCACGATACAGCATGACACTCAACGCCGCGTCGGAGCTCTGCCATCGCAGCACGGTGTTGGCCGATAGCAATGACGATAAAAATGTGCCAGATTGCGTGAGAACCGCCACCACACCAGTCCAGCCAGTGAGAGTACCGCTTGGAAAGGAAGCGTTCCGGGATATGTGTTACGTAGAAGACAAGGCCAATGAGGTACGATGTGATGGAGGGCCAGACGGGGTCTAGAAAATTTTATCAATACGGGGGATGTTCTACAGTATGGTAGAAGAAGGGACTCACAAACGAAAGCGAACATCTGCGCAGGCGATTGGAGGTATGCGAGGGCTGTCATCGGGGCGGCGGCGGTAAATGCAAGGGACAGAAAGAAAGCAATGCGACAGTGCTGAAGGAATTAAGTCAGTAAGAAATTTAAAGAACGAAAAACGTCATCACTTTATATTCGGCCTGATCGAACCATTTAAAGAATGGGAATGCGTTCCCTGCAATCCCAGTCATCAAGCAACAAACAAGGAATGCGTTTCCCACTTCCGGATGACAATTCTGGAAGCCATAATATACGACGGTGCCAACTGAGGCGCTGATAAGCCTGGTGGGATGTGAATGATTCAGTAAATTCAAGAAGCGTTGAATTGTACTCACCATCCAATACCTACATAATCTATCCGTGCACAAAGCTCCATGCCCTGAGGATGCGCACAGCCGGCCATGGTATGCCAGACCACACTGCTGAAAAGGCACAAGAGAGCAAATGAAATAAATGCCACCTCCGGAGCGTCTACGATATTTGATGCGTTAAATATGGATATCAAGTTAATGAGCCAAAGAATGAATGGGATGAGATGTGTGTGTATGTTCACTTTGTGATAGTCAGCATGTAACAATATTTAAAAGAAATATAACATACGAGTTTCATTGTGTACAGCGAACAGTGACATAATAATAAGCGGCCACTTTTCTAGGGGGATGAACCTGATGCACGAATGAACGTGTTGCAAAGAGGGAAAGGATTTGTCACATACCGATAACCTCCAAGGACAAAGGGGTTGTTTCGCCATTTTGGCGGAAGGTCGACATACTCAATTAGTCGCGATCCTTGTAATGATCGTTTTACTGCACGAGCAATGTCCTTTGCTGCCACTTCTATGATGGCCTCTGCTTCAGTGACATCATCAGATAGTTCAGTGATGAGTTCGGAGGACATGATGGAATCAATGAGGCCGGATATGTGAGAATTTCCCGGGAGAGATGGAAGCTCACTAGAGCGAGGATCAAACGATCGTAGGTGCGCATGGAAGGACTGGAAGCGAGCGGAGAGAGTTGGCAGAAAACCACAAAAGTCAAAGTCGGAAAAGCGGGAGTAGGCATGTTCTAAAAGCGATATGATATCGCTTGGAGCTAGGGCTGCCATATGTGGACGGACGCTCGGAATATCAGGTAGACGCGAGCGCACGTTGCTCAGGGAAGGGACATCGGGGAGTTCGGGGAGATGAGACTTCACTGGAGATATGTCTGGAAGATGGAGGTCCGGGAAGTGAGAGCAAACATCCGTTCGAATACTACGGAGCATCTCGAGAGCATCTTTAGCCCACTGTCTGGCTTCTTCGACAGAATAACCACCCTTATTCTTCAAAGCCTCAGCGAGATGAAGGTCAGTAATTGGAGATTCGAGTTTGGCCAATCGCATCTCAATGTCTTCTAAATACGATAGGACGAGGTACCGAAGAGCAGCAAAAGTCTCTTTGGCTGAGTTAGACGAGAGGTCGAGTGCCTCAAGTGAATGAGGCAGGCGCTGGCAGATAGCCAGGCGGAGGTTACGCTGTGGATCATTTGTGGAAAAGCGACGTCTGTGACGAGAACGGAGTTCAATATTTGCCTCCGTCGCAGTCGACGACATCGTATAAAAATGAGATGGAAGATAAAAGATGGAAAACTGAAAACGGAAGACGGAAGAACAAACAAGAGCCTCGCCTATCTGTAGACCGTCAGAAGTGAGGACGTCGGAATTAGTATACATCCTCCGAAACGCTTCTAAATATGGTATCTTGTCGGCATAATTGCCTTTCTGGCTTTTGTCACACCTATTGCTAAATTTGGGACACACTTGGTAATAGACGGTCACGTTCAATTCGAGTGCACCGGCTGCAGCTGCCAGCTACGATGACTCGTCAAGGAGCTCTTGAAGGCTTACTAAAACTCGATTCTTCTCATTGACCTTCATTATAGCTAAATACACCAATACCCAACACGTACCCAACAAATTTCGCAGGATGACCGTCGCTTCAGGACTTCCCCAACTGCTTGTTGTAGGTCTGGGTAACCTTCCATTTCCCCAGACCCGCCATAGGTAGGTTCTCATTACTCACAGTTGTCATCTGACGCGAAAGACTGACTGGAACCGCAGCATCGGACATCTCATAATTGACGCCTTAGCTGCAAGATTTCACATACATATGTCCACTGACAGGACGATGGGGGGCATGACTGGACGTTCAAAGGTCATGCTAGGCCAAACTGCTGTATCTCTGACACTCCTGAAACCAAGTTAGTGATTTAACTGTTCTAATTTCTCAATGGCTTTAAACACTCGGCCAGAGCCCCTCATGAATATCACCGGTCCATCAGTGGCGGGAGCTCTCCGCAATTCTGTCAAAGCCTCAGATGCAATGGTCGTTATCCACGATTCACTATCTCATAAACCGAAGGCTTTGTCTCCAAAAATAGGTGGTTCTGCCAATGGACACAATGGTGTACGCAGCATCATATCTGCACTCGGAGGCGAAACCCATTTTCATCGATTTCGTATTGGCATTGGTAGAGGTCCTGGTGATGTAGCAGAATATGTTCTGTCGAAGCTTTCGGAGGAAGAGAAATTTTATTGGAATGGCGATGGTATAGGCCTCGACCTCATTTGTAACGAACTCGAACGCATTGCCCGCAAACAGGTTGAGAGCCAAGGCTTACCGTGACCTTTGTGGGTTTATATTTCAGCGCTTTGTTAATCTGTTAATAAGTTTTGGCCTCAGACCTCGGACAAGCATGAGGTATTCGCCACGACGCGTGGCAAACCCGTGGTGACGGCTTCATTTCCGTTCAACGCCGGCGAAGTCCCGACATTGAATGCGCCCCCGTACTCGCAGACTGATGTGTGTACTTTTCATCTCCATATGTACATCACGTATTTTACGTGGCGTGGCCATAACGATACCTTACCTTCGGACCTACGTCACGGGTATGATTCAGCCTCACCGACTTGCACGCGATGGCACGTAAGGTGTAGTGTTGTCCATCATGTACTGATGCCGTTGTCCGACAGTGTTCGGTCATTAAATGAAAGTATATAAATTTTTTGGAAGATCTACTTAAGCGCTGTTATATAGCGTTAGTTAATCACCACAACACGAAGCGAACTACGGGTGTGATCATGGTTGGTTGGCTACTAGCATCTGCTGCTGCGGTGTGTATTGGCACGACCTATGCTCAGCCATCGCCAGAAGTTCAAGCACGTATCAGTGCTGCTATAGCAGCTGCGCAGGCATCTAACAGATCCACGGATATCGACTACACTGCTTTCGTGAATCCTTTCATCGGAACTGGTAGATCGGTTTTCTTTCGGCAGAAGTTCACGTGTACTGACAGCTATTTCCCAGATTATACCAATTATGGGGATGTTTGGTAGGTTCCCTCCATGACGCGTCGTAAGTCGTTGAACGATGCCTGCTATGCAGTCCAGGCGCGTCAGTGCCCTTCGGAATGGTACGTCTCAACTCAAACATCACCGTGACAACAACGCACATGCCTATCTCCAGGTCAAATTCACTACCGACTTCACGGGTTACGCGCCAGCGGGTAAGTTGTTCTGCAGGTCGTGCACGCTTCCGTTACAATGCGTGATGAATCGCCCGTAGGGTACATCTCGGATCCATCCCAGAAAGCTCACGGAATCAGTCCCCTGCATGACAGTGGCACGGGGTCATCCCTCGGGACGTATGGTAATTTCGAGGTCATGCCCCTTCTTTGTCCTTCAGGATTTGACACGTGCACGACCACACTGGAGGCGCGTGAGAGGTACAGGAAGAACGATAGTGATGGTATGGCGTCTTGTGTTGTATGGAAGTCCTAGAAGCTGAAATGAGCGCAACAGATGCGTACCCAGGCTACTTTTCGCTGACTTTAGATAATGATATCAAGATGGAAGCTACATCGACGCGTCGTGCTGGGATAGAACGCTTCGCATTCCCAGCGGGCTCGAAACCGTACTTTGTACTCGACCTAGCCAATGACTTGCCGGCGTCATTTGCAGGCGGGACCCTTGATATTGACCCAGAAAATGGTCGTATCACAATTGGCGGTCACTACGGATCCAGGTGGGCATTGAATGTCCTTTGAGTCAGTGATGTGGTAAATCAGCTTGATTGTGCGTTAGCTTCGGTCCCGGCTCGTACCACTACCAGGCATTTGCTTGTTATGATCTCTTGAACAGCGGAACTCAGAAACTGAGTGAATATGGCGTCTGGACGGGTGATAAGTGAGCACTGCGCACTGCTGTCATAATTTAACTAACAATACGCTTATCAGGTACGGTCTCGACGCAAAAGGACTTGGTCAGACCCATCTCAATCTCTCTCAGAACTTGATAGGCGGTACACCCTATCAATCAGGTGCACTCTTCTCATATGAAGATAACACAGAGGAAGTGATCCTTCGTGTGGGTATTTCATTCGTATCGACGGACCAGGCCTGTGCCAATGCCGAGGAGGAAATTGGTACAAGTTCCTTTGAGGAAATCCAGAAGGCATCCAAAGCTCTTTGGCAAGAGAAGCTCAGCAAGATCGAAATCGATGTTGTAAATACGCCCCCTAATGTGACGGAGATGCTGTATTCATCGCTGTACCGAGCGTCATTAACTCCTGTAGGTGTGAACCATCATAATGAAGTTGAACTAACCGTGTTTTTGCAGAATAATGCTACTCTAGAAACTCAAGGCGCGTTTGCGAACACGACATCATTCTACTTCGACTCTCTTTACTGTAGCTGGGACACGGTGAGCAGCAATGATGTGATATCAGAATTTGACTCACCCATATACGTAGTTCCGAACATTTTACCCCTTCATGACTCTTCACTCCCCAGTCGAATTCGCACAAATCGTGGATAACTACATCGATGGCTGGCGTAAACTCGGCTGGATGCCGGAATGCCGCGCGAACAATCTTCCTGGGTGGACACAGGGCGGGTCAAGCGGTGACAGCATCGTCGCACAGTTTGCGGTGAACTATCACAATGAGGCGCAAGCGCTGGGAATCAACCTCGACGACTTGTATGCCGCGCTTGTCGCGGACGGGCAGGTGAATCCGCCTGAATGGAATACAATGGGCAGGCAGGTGAATGTGTACAAGTACGTGACTTCGTTAATAGCGTATTAGATATGAGCGCTGAATTAGAATTGCAGGCAATTTTCTTATGTACCCTTTGCTGTTCTAGACACTGGGAGCACCGGTAGACAGACCAGGGAGGGAAGTAGAACTCTTGAGGTGAATGCTCCGTGATCAATGCTGGCGTTACGATCTCATGACCCGGCTGTATGCATTCTAGTATGCATTCCAGGACTTCGGTATTCGTCAGGTGGCACAAGTGCTTGGCAAAACGGATGATGTTGAATATTACACGAACCGATCATATGTGAGCGAATAGTGGCGTCAAAAATCACTGATCGCAAACTTTACAGTGGTACCGCAATGTCTGGGATGCAACTGTGTACAGTGATGGATACCAAGGTTTGTTGGGTCAATGTAGTGATGGGGACGTGAATCCTGATGCTGTCATCGCAGGGTTCATGCAGAAAAGATTCTCCAATGGAACCTTCTATAACACCGACCCTGTCGACTGCTCGCCGAAGGACACCAGGAGCACTCAAGAGTGCTCGCTTCAGGAGGATAATCAGAGCGGGTTCTATGAATCATCATCGTGGGAGTATAGCTGGTGAGTTTCTCGGTTCTTGCGTCAAGATGTGCTAGATGCCTTACGAGGGACAATGACAGGTATGCACCGCACGATACGGGATACTTGGTTGAGCTCATGGGAGGAAATGCAACGTTCACGAATCGACTCGACCATTTCTTTGACGTAGGTTCATCCTACGGGTCGTCCTGACTAATATTTACTTTGTGACATCCAGGAAGGATATTACCTAGCAGGCAACGAGCCTTCTTTCCAGGTTACTATCTTATATACACGGTTGAAGCAGTGCTGACCTGTAGAGCAGACACCTATCGGATACCACTATGCCAACCAACCTTGGCGTTCTGTGGACCGTGTCCGTGATGTTGTCATGAATAACTTCAACATCGGTAAGATTGGAGAAGCTAGCTAGTATGGAGTGATGCTGAATTAGATCCAGAAACTGCGGGTCTTCCTGGAAACGACGATCAGGCCGCAATGGCAACACTCCTCGGGTTTCATCTCTTAGGATTGTACCCAGGTATGCTCCTCATTCGTTCACCCATCCATACAATTAACTCGGGTGCAGTTCCCTCAACGACGCATTACCTTATTGTCTCGCCCTTCACGCCAAAATATACTATCCACAATGCCTACCTCAACACCAGCACTACAGTAACTGTTACCAACTACTCTGCTGCGTCTGTGGCGTATCCGATACCCGATGGTGTGCCTGCGTATGTGAAAAATGTGACGATCAATGGAGTGCCTGCGAAAAGCAGATGTTACGTTGATTTCTATGATACGTTTAGAGTGGGTGGGGAGATCGAAATAGTTGTCACGGAGGACAAAACGTATGATTGCGGTGGCCCTGTACCAGAGAGTCTGTCGATGGAAGGATTTGCTAGGGCACGGTAGAAGCAAATTGATGATTCTGTTGCGGATTGTGACAACATGCGAGTGGCAAGTCGTCATGTAATTTGTTCTTGTTTGCACACATAGTAGGTCCGTGCGATAATTGATATTGAAATATTGAAATATTGAAGCCTCGAGTCGCGATCCGATCGTTGCTCGATCACAAATTAAACAGCTGCAAGGTCCACTACGCTAATCGGGCTCGTCATCATCCACTACGTATGTGATAACATGGACAATATTATCGCCATCGGTGTTGGGCTCGCCCTACGCGCCGTCATCGACATCCTGACTGACAGTGATTATAGGCTTACTGGTGCGTCTTGTTACTGTTAACATGGCCCATCTAGTAATCATTGTTATTCAAGGTACACTCGTTGGGCTCTGGGAAGGTTTTGTGCTCTCACATTTCCTCCATAAAAATCCGCGAAATCCCAATGATGCTTATCTTGCCCTTGCGACTCGGTTCGTTATCGACTTTTTGCTCACGAACTCGCTAGTTCGTTTTGCCCTCACTGGCGCATGGACACTCGTTGGGCTCCTCCTTGCTGACATAGCGCCCAGCGTGTTGCGAGAGACAGGGCTGAGGCATGTATACAGGGCGCTAAGGAAAGATGTCAGAGCTATGAGGAGATCCATGCCACGATGGAGGATTGAAAATGATATACAAGTCCCAAACATATCTATTTCAAATCGTGTACCGGATCTTTTGTCTAGTCCTCCATCATCCAGCATTGTATCGAGCACGCGTGCTGCCCCGCCAGCTTCCCCAGCTCCGATCCTGCAGAGACGCTCAACATTAAACTCGCCCTCCAGCCGAGTAACCTCTTCCGTGATGAACACTCTTACGCGTGAAGTTGTTCTAGGACCCTCCCCAGCCCTCATTCACATTGATGTCGACCCTGAATTTTCTCCTTCTTTCAACCCAGACACACCCTCTCCTCGCTCGTCTCTTCTCTCTAATACGTCTGATTATGATCCTTCAAGGCACGACCAGGCTATACCGATTCAAGATGACGACCGGGTACACACTGCCGTGCCGTCCCACATGCAAGAACAAGAGCAGGAACAGGGTGCAGACCTCAGCGTGCTCGACTTAACTCCACCTGTAGCTGCAGTCGGAATAACATTTGCATCCGAAATCATCTCCCCTACCCCCCGCTCATATATTGAAGGTCTCCCTCCCATCTCAGATTCTGAGATCGATCTCTCTATCCATGCACCGCCAGTTCCACCACTAGAATCACGTCCTGCTTCCCGTCTAAGGAATCTATCATCCACCCTTGGCTGGGGCATATCGAACCAAAACACTGGCACCGGCGTCAGGGAAGTTGGTAGTGATCGAGGCCCTGATATTGGGAGATCACGCACGCCACCTCATCAACGGGCGACCTCGGCGGGGGTGTCGGCACAAAATAGGCCTACCTTCGGTAACCGGCCGAATTCTACAGGACACCAGGTCAGCAACAAATGGGAACATTCGATGCTTCGTCATCCTGAACAGAATATCCTGTCTGATGGTGCTACTGGAATCGGCGGTGCCATACAGGCAGACGGGCAGATGCCTCAACATTCTGGCAGTGACGGTATGCACATGAGCTCAGCGCTTGGTTTGAGTGCGCCACTCTCCCAGTCCAAGACCCCCGCTACTCCCCCAGACCTAGCGCCCGCTTCGACACCCCAGATCAAGCCGCCAACGCCAGCGCCCATCGCCAAAACGCCAACGCCAGCGCCACCCACTAAACCGCCAACGCCAGCGCCCGTCACCAAAACGCCAACGCCAGCGCCACCCACTAAACCGCCAACGCCAGCGCCCATCACCAAACCGCCAACACCAGCGCCCCTCACCACACCCGCACCTGCACTTCCATCCAAGACCCCTACACCTGCACCTCTCTCCAGGACCCATACACCGATGCCCACATCCAAATCGAGGTGTACAAGCCCAGGTCTTACATCCACTTCCGTCCGCAACCATACCGATTACGACCCTGCGAACCCAATTCGTCCTATGCCAGGCCTCAAATCTCCATCTACCGAACCAGACCCAATTTTCCCAGATGTGGGAGCGCGTAATGAATCTACCACGGGAGTGTTCAATCCCTTAGATACCAACGGTGCCGATATTTATGATCCGCCGCCGCCATTCAAAGAATTCGAGTCGCCTGTGCATCCGCGTGGGCCGAATTTTGGTGCAGGCATTGATGATGGGAAGCGATCAGGCGAACAGGTCACGGGGGGTTCTCAAGGTCAGGGTGCTGTTGCCGAGCCGCCAGCTGCCGAGGGTGATGCGAAAGGAGAAGGGGAAGGTGAAGAGGCAATTACAAACACAAATATCGGAGATGTGGATGATGTGGGTGGACAAGACTCTGGTGAGGGTACCAAAGAGAACGTTCAGACTTCAAACGCTGGGGACCACGCCCGAGGTGCGGATAGCCCGAACCGAGAGGAAGGTGCTCGAGAGAAAGGGAAGGCTAATCAAGAGCAAGAAAAGAATGAACAAGATGGGGAGGGTAATCAGGGAGCGGTCGGCCAAGCCACATGCAAAGATGCCAACCTCGCAAGCGGTGATACCCAAGTCGCAGGCGATGATACCCAAGATACAGGTATGTGTGTCCATTCAAGTAATTTGAACTAAGCCAAAGCTTTACCTCCAAACCAGAGCCAGCGGGTCTCACTCCCGCCCAAGAAAAGGCTGAAACTTACCGCAATGCCTTCTTACGCAAGGAAGTGGCCCGACTCGAGGAATCACGGGAGAAATTGGGCTCCTCTGATGCACGGGGTCTTTCCAAGATTCAGGCCCGCCTGAGTGTCATAAAAGAAAGAATTTCAAGGACGGTCTTCGCTGGTGCGTTCACATTCCATTATCTTCCATCTAGTTGCCGCTACTTATGCTTACCATGAACAAAGACCCACCCAAATACTCATCGTCCACTGTAAAAGTCACCACTGCCAACAAAACTGTCCCAGAAATCTTCAGCGACCTGACGGATGCGATCGTTGATGTCCTTCTTAAACGCGAGGATGCTGATCCGATCGAAGTTCCGGTGCTTGTATCGAAGAACAGGTATAAAACGCTGGATAAGCCATTGAAGGAGTTTGTTACGGAGTGAGTTTATTGGCTTATCTTGGTTTCTTTCTTTAACTGCTTGTGATGCTGATGCTGATGGTGCGGCAGGAACAATTTCTCAATCTCTGACCATGCCGAGGGTCAGTGTGTGATAACGGTGTAATTGAGATTGTACAACATACGATACCCCCGACAACGATACCCTCCCTCAGTACTTGATGTTGTTGAATCTCGATGCGCTCTCAATGGCGGTGAAGTAATTATATTTGTTGTATCGCACATGTAATACGGTACTCTACCTAAGTTATTATGATGATTGAATCATGGATTCGTGAAGGTGCATTGAATCGGTATTTGAAAATAAATGCATTGCATTTACTTCTTTTCTAACTTTTCAAATGGCGCTGCCAACAGTTGAAACTCAGCTGACCAGCGCTCGACAAGAAAATGGATTTGATCATCAATGTTTTATATATGGCATAATTTAAAGGTTTTCTGTACTTGTGAGGACGACGCCCGCAGACTAGGTTATGTATCTCTGCCATGGCCACATACTCTACTAGTTCGTGTTCTACCTGCTCCCCAAATTCTATTCTTCCCACGTTAAGCGCGCCTCGAACCATCTGAAACTCATGGCTCGCAGGAAAAGAAAAACATTGCTAGCTGCCCGCATGCTGGGATGCTGACTATTGCTCTTGGGATATCACTGCGTATGTTTGATATTCGGGCTGATAATGTGGATCATAATCGTTTTCTAGTACGAAATCAACACATTTTTTCTGTTTCTTCTCAGCTGTCCGCTTGAGTACGATGAGACTCAACAATCCTCAGCAGCGCCTGCTCTACTCATTGGGACCTCTGATCGAGGCAGAAGTATCACAGAATAAGGCATGCGTGCGAGGGTCGATGCATAGTGAATCGTACGTCGGAGAACCATAGACTTTATTTGGGCGCACATTGAAAAACCAAACATTCTGCTACCCCTCAAACTCTCTCGCTCCAGAATCCTCCCTCCTTGGGAGTCAGTGACGATACATACAAGCCATGTGTCAATCGAACGGGGTGGATTCATCGTTCCAGTGATGCTGTTGGTAGGGGGTGTTCTTTTATTAATAGGATTTCGCAGTTGCTCCGTTAATCAAGCAGCAATAGAATTTGCTCTGGAGTAGTCCAACTCGAAAATCGACTACTATGTAAGAGTTGTGCCATGCGCTGAATGAGTTCGTGTACGTGGGTTCGTCCCACATTTGCATCGAGTGACAACCAGTACTTCCACAGAGCCAGACCACATTATGCGACTAAATGGAACAACAACTCTGGTATGGACTGTCATAGCTTGTGGACCCACACATATTTTAACACGGCTCGGGCCACTGCTGTTCAACTTCTTCTGCCATTGTTCACGAGGTGTTAAATGAGGGCTCGTTCAGACCGGTTTTCCATATCACTCAGCTACCATGGAGACTACCGAGCTTCATTTAACGACCTTCCTGCCGAGATCGTCGCCATCATCATACAATATGCTGCAAAACCCACTTTTACTCAAGACGAGGAATATGAGCTGATGAATCTGTACTCGACCGCTCGTGAACTTTGTCTCGTCTTCCGCGCTTCTAGGCACGTTGCACTGCCTATAATGTTGCACACGGTATTACTGGATTTTCGTAACATGCCAGCTTTCTTGCGTGCTCTACATATGCAGAACGAATACGCTCACACATATCCTGCTCTCCGTTTCGAGTACACGCCTTACATACGCAACATCTGGTTTGGAGAGCGTTGGGGTGGGCGTCCCTCAGACGCTCACGTGTACAGCCGCTTTACCTCTGAGCCTGTGTCAGACCTTGAGCTCATCGCTCCAATACTCCTGGGCGCATCGTCACTAGCGATCGAGTTCTCGTGTCTAGACCTCCTGGCATTCTGTGTAGAGCTCGCATGGAGCCGTATGGACGACAACATAGACCGTGGATGTTTGCCACTTCCGTGGAACATAAAAACATTAACGTTATCGAGGATCATCTGTGATTCATGGGACATGGCAAGGCTTGCCTCAGGATCAGCCTTCCTGGCATCCATCACCCACCTTATCGCCATCCCTCCCGATGAGGATGACTTCACACGTCCTTTGTCGGTCTAGCCGCGGTGTTGGATCTCAAAGTCTCTGTGGATGGAGTACGTTCCGTGGGATTCTTTCGGGAGACTCGAAAGAGCCTCTTTGGTTTTCCCCCAAGTCAAGCTTCCGTTCAATATATACGAATCTAGTATGGGACTGAAATTACACGCGGAACTGTTGACGCTCCCTGGTTCCATGCTCAGGGGCCGCCGCGTACCCGCCGAGATACAAGGGTCCAAAGATGCTGAAGAGGATTATTTTTTGTTGAAAGATGTTGATGCCGAGGTGTCCGATCATCCGGTGCACTTTTGTACTACAACGACTTGTCTATCTTGTCTTCATCCAGATTGGCAGAAAGTGTGGGCATCCGGGTTGCAAGCTGAAGGGAGATGGGTGTTATGATGCGATTAATATTGGGTATACGTAGATGTTCGTAGCTGGCTTCCTGTATTGTGTATATAACTACTTCTTGGCACCGATTGTCAGACTTGTCAACACTTTGTTACCGAGTATTCATGAACGTTAACCATAACATAAGTAAGCCAGAGGCTTAGTGAGGCGCATGTGTATCATCTTTTGGTTGACTTGGAGTTTCTCGTGCAATGAACCCCTCTGGACCTTTCTGGCCATCAGACATGAACCTGTCTGTTAAAAATTATACCAATCAACGACGGTCGGCATGCGTGCCGGACCAAAGTCGACTCGACAGCCACCCATTATACATTATAATTGAGGACGCAACACATTGCAATGTAGGACAGGAGTGCATTTTCCACCAAATAATTTGGCAATAAGACTCGGCGGAGTTTTGTTTCGACCGTGGCACCACAAATCCCATCATTACTGCCGTAGCGGGGACGTCATTTTGCAACCTTCAAGGCCAATTTCAAATTATTTATTTCATTCTGCAGGGCTTGCTGTCCAGCGTACAATCTTCGCAGCGCTACATGTTACTCGACGCCTATGTGATGAGCCGGCATATGTAGATTGCATACATTACACAAGGTTAGTAACTAATGCCCGCTGGGATGGTAAGTAATACTACCGCTCATTGAACGTTTGTCGTGCACTGCTATGACTGGTGGAACGGCAGTTGTTAATGACTTCTATTACCGTGACCTCAGTCAGCTGGACAGTGAGTCATGGTAGGACAGATAGGAACAATGTAAAGCCTCCTCCCCACTAAATTTGAATTGGAAGTCGAGGCTTCTTGATCGAAACAAAAGTGCAAAGTCCGCAATGTGTTCAGGGTCCGGCTCTGTCACGAATCTTGCATCCCTACAGCAATCTGAACAGTATTCAATCGTCGGATCGACCCGGAACATGCATTATGCTTCGACATCTGATTCCTTTGGACAAATACCATTGAACAGTTTCATCACTAGTACTATCATGTGTCCTTGACGTCGTCTTCTGTGGAGTATAAAACAGACAGCATCAACAAGCCTGTCAATTGCCAACAACCTCTCTACAAGTGAAATCAACTCACCATCATGTTTATCCACCTCTCTACTGCGTTCGTTGTTCTCCTCGGCCTGACGGCCCTTGTCAACGCTGGAGTGCCAGTAAGCCTCGCATCGCGTCAAATTTTATCATATTGTTATACAATGTCTGCAGGCTGCTCGCCATGCTGCTCCCATTGACAAGCGTGGCATTATCATGACCCGAGTAAGCCTGGCTTCGCGTCAGATCTCACCTTGAGCTTACAATATGCATAGGCCAATTATTTAGTACCTGCGCCCGTAAGCCTTGCTTCGCACCAAACGTGTAAAACTCACCATAACATATACGTAGGAAAAGTCTCCAGAACCGGACCCAGGCAAGAAGCCAGTAGTAGTAACTGGGCGTGTAAGCTTTATTTCACACCAAATCTGATCATGTCAAACTCACCATACAATGTATGCAGGAGGAGTCTCCAGAACCGGACCCAGGCAAAAAGCCAGTCCACTAGTAGTAACTGGGCGTGTGAGCTTTATTTCATACCAAATATGATCATGTCCAACTCACCATTTGATGTACGCAGGGACTCTGAACCTATGATGATTACTAGTAAGCCTTGTTTCGCGTGTTGACTCACGACACTGTACACAAGGCAACCACTTTGCAGGATCGAATTTTTATGTAGAACAAGTTACAAGGGATGTTGAATAGAATAGTGCTCAATGAGGTTGAAATGTGAGGTGTATTACCGAATGCATGACTGTATGGAAAGCAGGACTATCGTGCTTTGTTTGTGAGCAAGAATTCTACTATATATAAGGCAGGAGCTTCTGACTGAGTCTGAACATACTGCCATTTCGACCACGACTCTTCAACTTGAAGTACTCCAGCTTGGAGAAATTTCTTTCAAACTTTAATTCAGATATCTTTGCCATCGATCAAGAGATCACACGAGGTTTCAATGCTTCAGCACTCCGAATTGCGTAGCAGATACACGATACATATACAAATCAAACCATATTTAAGTCATGATCATTCAAAACCATGATGGAGAATTCTATCCATGCCAACGAGGCCCAAAAGTACCTGCGACAGTTCGGATTTACATACAGTTATATTATGTAAATAGTCTCGTCGTCTAGTTCGTCCGTTCTTGTTCCATGTCAATACTAGTATAGATATAAGTATAGGGTACTCGCAACTGTAGAATGAAAGTGACAAAAAATTATACGAGGGTTGCCGGAAATGTCAACAGAAGCCTGTCCGTCGAACCATGCTGCCCACATGCTGTATATACAACAGCACGGAGCCCCTCGCTCGTGATCAACCGATACCAAACCACGGACGACATGTTATAACTGTAGGAAGTACTTCAGGACTAGATTCGTGAGGCTCGCGCAGGAACTGACCTCAAACATCAATGTAAGGGAAAACCTCCTTCCTCATATCAGTGCAAGAGTGCTAGACGCGTCTACCTCTTCATGTTCTGCTCCCAACCAAAGCTCCCCAGAGCGGCGAGAGGGTGTTAGACCTCTTAGGTCTACTTCTTCGTGTTCCAAACCCTCCCAAAGCTGCTCGGAGCGGCGAGAGGGTACTGCAGGAATAGTAACACCGAAGATGGAGGATGTGAGAGCGAGAGCAACCGTGAAGCAAGGCAAAGTCAACATATTACTAGTGAGATTGAATGAGACAAACGTGTTTATGTAGATGATGTTGGGACACGCAGGGAAACTATGAGAAAAGGACTGCGTGGAGTCTTGATCCAATTTATACGGTATGTTATTTCCCCTGAATATGCACTGCGTGAGGCTGCGTTGGCATGGTGTGAAAACTAGGCTCATCATCGGTCTTACCAAGTGCAAAAACCATGTTTGTTTTGTGATACATCAACTTTGGGCGTCGCAAAGGGAGGTACCGGCTCACGTCCAAGTATGGTTCATGATAGCCTACCGCGCAAGAGAGTTTAGGTGTACTACGACCATCCTATGTTTAGTTTATCATGAGTGAATGACCGGTGCTGATGCCTGAAAGTTAGTGGCTGAAAAATAAAAATAGAGAACTGTGCTTACCTTTCATTCGAGACTGCAACAAAAATTCTCCCAGATGTGTGCAGCCTGTCTTTGGAGTCGGTTTCAGTATCGGTGGTCAGCAGGGGTCCTATGCCAAGCCTCAAATCTCCATCTACCGAACCAGACCCAATTTTCCCATATGCAGGAGCGCGTAATGAATCTACCACGGGGGTGTTTAATCCCTTAGATCACGGTCTTGATATTGATGACGATCCACCATCACCATTCAAAGAATTCGAGTCGCCTGTGCACCCGCGTGGGGCGAATTTTGGTGCAGGCATTGATGATGGGAAGCGACCAGGCGAACAGGTTATGGGGGGTTCTAAAGGTCAGGATGCTGTTGCCAAGTCGCCAGCTGCCAAGGGTGATGCGAAAGGGGAAAGGGAAGAAGAAGAGGCAATTACAAACACAAATATCGGAGATGTGGGTGATGTGGGTGGACAAGACTCCGATGAAGGTACCAAATTAGAGAACATTCAGACTTCAAACGCTGGGGATCATGCCCGAGGTGCGGATAGCCCGAACCGAGAGGAGGGTGCTCGAGAGAAAGGGAAGGCTAATCAAGAGCAAGAAAAGAGTGAACAAGATGGAGAGGGTAATCAGGGAGCGGTCGGCCAAGCCACATGCAAAGATGCCAACCTCGCAAACGGTGATACCCAAGTCGCAGGCAATGATACCCAAGATGCAGGTATGTGTGTCCACTAAGGCAATTTGAACTAAGCCAAAGCTTTACCTCCAGACTCTGGCCCCAAACCAGTGCCGACGCATCTCACTCCTGCCCAAGAAGAGGCTGAAACCCACCGTCATGCCTTCCTACTTAAAGAAGTAGCCTGACTCGAGGAATCACGCAAACGGGAGATAATGGACTCTTCTGATGATCAGTGCCCTTCTGAGATTCAGGCTCGTCTGAGTGCCGTGAAAGCAAGAATTTCAAGAATTATTTTTGCTGGTACGTTCATGTTCCATAGATCTCGCACTGTCTTGCTTACTCAGGCTGTCTTTACCACGAACAAAGACCCACGGGTCCCACCCAGACGTCCACGGCAAAAATCCTCAGGAATTCACCAGTGCGCTGACGAATGCGATCATCGATTTGCTTCTTGAGCGGCAGGACGTTGGACTGATAAAAGTCACAGTATCTTATACGAAGAACAAGCGGGCGGTTGTGGAAAAGTTGTTGAAGGAGTTTAATGCGGAGTGAGTTTATTTGGCTTCTATGGCTGTTATTGTGATGCTAAGTTTCTGGACATCAGACATGAACCTGTCATACCAGTCAATGACGTTCGGCATGCGTGCCGGAGCAAAGTCGACTCGACAGCCACCCATTATACATTATATGTTATAAACGCAGCACACAATTGCAATGTGTGGCAGGATTTCTACCAAAATAAGACTCGCAATTTTTTCGACCGTGGCACTGGCAGGTCCACAACACCCATTACTACTGCCGTAGCGGAGAACCTTCAAGGCCATTTGCAAATTATTTATCTCATTCTGGCCTACCGTGTATCAATGCACACGTTTGATCTGATTATTGACTCTCATGTTTTATCAGATTAGTTTTTTTTACTCTGACACTCAAAAAAAAAGCTCTACCTGGTCCTGCCCTGCTGTCCAGCGTACAATCTTCGCAGCGCTACACGTTGCTTGACACCTATGCTGTGACCTGGCATATGTAGACTGCATACAGTACACAAGGTCAGTAACTCACGCCCGCTGACATGGTAATACTACCGCTCATTGAACGTTTGTCATGCATTGCTACAACTGGTGGAACGGCGGTTGTTGATGATTTATGTTACATCAGTCAGCTGGACAGTGAGTCATGGTAGGACAGATAGGAACATGATCGTTTCAATACAAAACCTCCTCCCCACTGAATTGGAATTGGAAGTCGAGGCTTCTTGATCGAAAAAAAGTGCAAAGTCCGCAATGTGTTCAGGGTCTGGCTCTGTCACGAATCTTGCATCCCTACAGCAATTTGAACAGTATTCAATCGTCGGATCGACTCGGGACACGTACTATGCTTCGACAGCTGATCCCTTTGGACAAATACCACTGAGGGGTTTCATCCCTAGTACTGTCATATGTCCAAAACACGACCTGACGTCCTCTTCTGTGAGTATAAAACAGACAGCGCCCATAATAAATTGCTAACAACCTCTCTACAAGTGAAATCAACTCACCATCATGTTTATCCACCTCTCTACTACGTTCGTGGTTCTCCTCGGCCTGACGGCCCTTGTCAACGCTGGAGTGCCAGTAAGCCTCGCATCGCGTCAAATCTTATCATATTGTCATACAATGTCCGCAGGCTGCTCGCCACGCTGCTCCCCTTGACAAACGTAGCACTGTCGTGACGACCCGAGTAAGCCTGGCTTCGCGTCAGATCTCACCTTGACCTTACAATATGCACAGGCCAATTATTTAGCACTTGTGCGCGTAAGCCTTGCTTCACACGAAACATGTCAAACCCACCCTAACATGTACGCAGGAAGAGTCTCCAGAACCAGACCCAGGCAAACCAGTAGTCACTGGGCGTGTGAGCTTTGTTTCACACCAAATCTCATCGTGTCAAACTCATCGCACAATGTATTCAGGAAGAATCTCCAGAACCAGACCCAGGCAAGCCAATAGTCACCGGGCGTGTAAGCTTTATTTCACGTCAAATCTAATCATGTCAAACTCACCATACAATGTATGCAGGAGGAGTCTCCAGAACCGGACCCAGGCAAGCCAGTAGTAACTGGACGTGTAAGCTTTGTTTCACACCAAGTCTCATCATGTAAAACTCACCACACAATATATTCAGGAAGAACCTCCAGAACCAGACCCAGGCAAGCCAGTAGTCACTGGACGTGTAAGCTTTGTGTCACACCAAATCTGATCATGTCAAACTCATCGCACAATGTATTCAGGAAGAGTCTCCAGAACCAGACCCAGGCAAGCCAGTGGTAACTGGGCGCGTAAGCCTTGTTTCACACCGAATCTAATCATGTCAAACTCACCATGCGATGTACGCAGGGACTCTAGTAAGACTTGTTTCGCGTGTTGACTCGCGACACACTGTACACAAGACAGCCACTATGCAGAATCATATTTTTATGTAGAACATGTTACAAGGGATGTTGAGTAGAATAGTGCTCAATGAGGTTGAAATGTCAGGTGTATCACCGCTGTATGGAAAGCAGGACCACCGTGACCGCGCTCTGTTTGTCAGCAAAAAATCTACTATACAAGGCAGGAGCATCTGACTGAGTCTGAACATACACCCGGGCAACTCCCGTCTTCAGCTTGAAAGTACTCCAGCTTGGGGGAATTTCTTTCAAACTTTAATTCAGATATCTTTGCCATTGACTCAAGACATTACACAAGGTTTCAGCGCTTCAGCACTCGACACTCTGAATCGCACAGCAGATACATGAAAATCAAACGATATTTAACTCATGATCATTCAAAACCACGATGGAGAATTCTATCTATGCCAACGAGGCCTAAAAGTACCTGTGACAGTTCGAATTTACATACAGTTATATTTAATAGTCTCGTCATCTAGTTCGTTCGTTCTCGTTCCATGTCAGTACTAGTATAGATATATAGGGTGCTCGCAACTGCAGAATGAAAGTGACAAATTATACGAGGGTTGCCGGAAATGCTAACAGAGGCCTGTCTGTCGGACCAAGCTACCCACATGCTGTATATACAACAGCACGGAGCCCCTCGCTCATGATCAACCAATACCAAACCACGGACGACATGTTATAGCTGTAAGAAGTGCTTCAGGACTAGATTCGTGAGGCTCGCGCAGGAACTGACCTCAAACATCAATGTAAGGGAAAACCTCCTTCCTCATATCAGTGCAAGAGTGCTAGATGCGTCTACCGCTTCATGTTCTGCTCCCAACCAAAGCTCCCCAGAGCGGCGAGAGGATGCTAGACCTCTTAGGTCTACTTCTTCGTGTTCCAAACCCTCCCAAAGCTCCCCAGAGCGGCGAGAGGATGCTAGACCTCTTAGGTCTACTTCTTCGTGTTCCAAACCCTCCCAAAGCTCCCCAGAGCGGCGAGAGGGTGCTAGACCTCTTAGGTCTACTTCTTCGTGTTCCAAACCCTCCCAAAGCTCCCCAGAGCGGCGAGAGGGTGCTAGACCTCTTAGGTCTACTTCTTCGTGTTCCAAACCCTCCCAAAGCTCCCCAGAGCGGCGAGAGGGTGCTAGACCTCTTAGGTCTACTTCTTCGTGTTCCAGACCCTCCCAAAGCTCCCCGGAGCGGCGAGAGGGTACTGCAGGAATAGTAACACCGAAGATAGAGGATGCGAGAGCGAGAGCAACCGTGAAGTGAGGCAAGGTCAACATATTACAGTGAGATTGAATGAGACAGACGTGTTTATATAGACGATGTTGGGACACGCAGAGAAACTTTAAGAAAAGGACTGCGTGGAGTCTTGATCCAATTTATACGGTATGTTATTTCCCCTGAATATGCACTGCATGAGGCTGCATTGGCATGGTGTGAAAACTAGGCTCATTATCCAGCAGTGATCACTCCTTGGCGGCACCGCGAGTCGGTATTGATGAGCGTCAGCGTCTCCAATGTTTCGAACCGCCTCAATTCCGGGGGGTGAATAGGCCGTATAGGCGGAGAGGTCCTACCAAGTGCAGAAGCTATGTTTATTTTTTGATACAGCAACTTTGGGCGTCGCAAAGGGAGGTACCGGCTCACGTCCAAGTATGGTTCATGATAGCCTACCGCGCAAGAGAGTTTAGGTGTACTACGACCATCCTATGTTTAGTTTACCATGAGTGAGTGACCGGTGCTGATGCCTGAAAGTCAGCGGTAGTCATTGTAACGATTACGAACTGAAAAATAAAAATAGAGAACTGTACTTGCCTCTCATTCGAGACTGCAACAAATTCTCCCAGATGCGTGCAGCCCGTCCTTGGAGTCGTTTTCAGTATCGGTGGTCAGCAGGGACAACTGTCTCCCATCGCTCTCATCTTCTGAGGAGAAACCAAGAATTGACCCTCTCGCTGTAGGATGAGTATGATGAACCATCAGCTAGACTCGTAACTGCTCTCTGCATTCATGATTGTATCGTTTTCACTACTTACCTGTGCAAACAGGTTCGAGACTGCTACCTTGGTGAAAAGATAGTCTTTTGCAGTGGGGCATCGTCATTTCGGTTGTCATCCTTACTTCAGGAAGTTGCTCATTCGGACTCTGTACATGTCATGTCCGGTCATCGTGTCGTTTGTGCCCCGCAACCTGCCGGAATTTGGAGTATTGACTTGTCATTGCCATCAAAGCACAATCACACCAATTCATTGGAAACACCTGTATGCATCTGGTGTGTAGTATGCACCGCGTTCCATGGTCCAGGTCGCTGGCTATCAATAAAGAAAGACCGCACAAGTTACACTTAGCAATTTCCAAAAACAATGATTGGGGTTCGCACCATGTACACCTTCCGAGCGGGATAAGTACTGTTCCTGTCTGACTATGCGCCCTCTCTCAAGCCAAATCAGGGTGCTGTAACAGGCTTCATCTTGAGTACTTTGGCCATCGATAGCAAATTGATACGTTCATCATTCTCGTCGCATGCAGTGACGTTAGAAAGCCGACCGGGAAATACCGTGTTTCGGCGCTCTTCCAAATCCAACTTGGTCAAAGACTACGTCACAGTCCATAGCTACACAGTGACTGCAAATTGGTCATTACTAGTACTCATGGGGAAAATAAATACAACCTTGACTCACCAGGCCTTCCGTCCGCAAGTCTAGACATCTAGTGACCAGCAGTTGTGCCATTTGATTAATGGGGACATGTTCTCGTCCTTGAGTGCGGTGTGTCGGTCTCCATCTTCCATCATGCGCTTTTTGAAAACATTTAACAGCTTATTTTTGAAACACGATCTTCGGGGTTAACATGACAAAACAGTGCATAGTTGCGCACTGACACAGATGCTATTTCTCCAATGCACGCACTTAAACTTGCGAATGAGATAATGTCAGCGCTTCAAAGTGGTAAGACTTGTAATTTCTTGGATCTTCAACTGTCCTGAGCTGCTGATGTTAATGCAGATAACTCATTCTCGAATCACTGGTTGGAAATGTTGTACAGAATAGTGAGTAGTTGAAATTCACTGAAAATCTTCCCATTGACTAAACCTTTCCAGAGCCACCTGTGCAGTGACTCGGGGAATGCTTTTCAACTGCTGCGATACCCTTCACGAATGAAATAATTCTTTGATCGTTGTCAGTCTATTGCGCAAGAGCATCTGGTTGCTATACTGCTTGCTTTAAGAATCGGAGATCCTCTCGTGAACTGCGCTTTGAAATAGTAATCCCAAGACGTGCGTAGGTACGGGTCCCTCAGCACGTTGAACAGCCACTATATTTTTAGTAAGCATTAGTCAAGCGATCATTCATATTCATATAGACTGACGCAATCTTGAAGCTACTTCCTCCGTCTTCCAAAAAGAAATAGCGGCCGGTGTCGGTTCAGGTTCGTTTGCCCTGTTGTTGCCTGCTATGAAAAGCAGAAATGGTAGCTTAGGAACAAGTCGAGCGATTTCATCTACCTCGGCTGGGTGACACTTCCTGATGAACGCCTGTTTGCCAAAGAGCACCAACGAGGGGCGTCAGACTCATTTGAATCTCTGCCGTATGTCGACCATCAGCGCGGACTGCGGGCGATCAGTTTACTAGGCCGCTGCGTAACGAGCTGTGACTTCTTGCCTTTACTTGGGATTATTTCGTCGTGGACGGCTGTTATCCACAGTCTTCCATCCTGAGTGTCGGCAACAGGAACTATCACAGGAATCAGATAATAGCTGCAGGCGATATCTGAAGATCCACACCAGCCATCCCTGGGGCAACGTCTTTGCACAGGTTATCAACACTCAGCTGAGCTGGAACATAATTCGTACCTGTGTCTTTAACAATAATGAGGGCGGCACACGAAATATGAAGTACCAATAAACCGTAAATGAGGGATGGAATGTTGGGGTACATTTTGAAACTTTTGCGAGAGGTGAGCCCCACGATTTTGATGGAATACGCATGGACAAGCTGAATTTATAGCAGAACCGCACGCCTTATGGATGTGGGGCCTTCGTAGCCTTGAAAAAAGCGAGGTCTGCTCCAAGAGGCCTACAGAATCAGCCCCGGCCTTACCCACATTATCTGCGCTTCGGTGCTGAAGCGAGCTGGCAAAGCACAGCAAGTGCGCACAGTGTATGGGAAGCTCAGCTGCTTCGAGAGGTGTGAGAGTAGCTTCTCGGGCTACCGCAGTACCATAATCGCTGGGATGTCCAGAACACGCCGTGTTATCGACACAACAAGCAAGTGAATAATCACAGACTGATAGACCTTCTGCACTGAAAAGAGGCTTTCGATAGTCTTCCTTGTTTTGTGTTCAAAGGCTTATATATCAGCCCTAAACCCTGTCTCTGTAACTTATCAATACGTAGGAGAAGTACGCCAATGTTTTTCGACACTCAGTGTCTGGACCTGAAGTCACTCTGATATTTGGCGGTTAACTAACGGATGAGCCGACAATTGAAGACTCTGAAGACCAAAATGATCGCGAAGTCCGGAGCGGCATGCGCGTCCATCTCCCGACCCACACCGCGGGTGTTTTGATGCTCCAAGTGTTTGAAGTGTTTGATTGCCCATGTGCAATGAATCATATGCCCAGCAGCCCCGTAAATCATACAGGACATAACCAGAAACCCATTGAAGTAATTATTCGTCCAACATAAAAAACTATATACAAAATAATACAGTACTTGTACTGCATATCTGTGAGCGACCATAAATCAGAGCATAAAGAACAGAGACAGCGTTGTCCAGCAACGTTTGTATCCAGGTGATGAAATCGAGTGCGTGATACAGGTGAGATATCGATATCGTGGCATGATTAGTGGAGTAGGGTACTCGCATGGTTGAGTAATCGTGATAAAATCCACATAGACAAAACATCCGTGGGGTAGTTGCGAATACGACACTGGTGGTGAAAGCGTTGTGGACATGGTAGTCAATGGGCGTGTAATACGTGAACACTTAAAACGTGATATTCAGAATAAATGGTGTCCCCGAGTCATTCCGGACCTTGAACTTGTTCCTTTAATGTAAGGCATTAGTGCGAAGCCACATAGAAAAGAGGAAATAAAATAGCATAAAAACCCATCTGCTAAAAAGCGGGCGGAACAACGCGGTAAAAAAACTCACTCTTTCACCCAATCTACAACAGCGTTCTTCAAGTCACCTGCCTTTCCGCCTCCCTTCCTCTGCTTGTTGATATATCCAACGACCGCTAATGGCTCCGCATGAGGCGTTTCCAGGAGCAGATCTACAATAGCGGTATGTACAAGGTCAACGGCTGACGGGCCGTCGATACCTGAAAGGGTGAGTTGGTGTGGGGTTTCAAGTTCGTCAGAGGGGTCTGTGCATGGTAAAAGAAAGTGGAAGATTCAGCACCGTGCCCAAAACCAAAAGGATTCAAATCAAAGAAGCACCTTCATAAACCCTCCTCTCGACTCTCTCTCTAACCATCTTAAGCCTCTCCTTAAGCCCATTTAACCTCTCTACACTCAATGCACTTGGACTTCCCCGCCCTGTCCCACTCTCCGCTTTCGCGATAAGCACCTCCAGCTGCTTCAGCTCCCGCATCAAGAATTCCCCGCGTAGGGACTCGCGCTCGGTCTGCTCTGGGGTAAGAAGAGTCGGCTCAATAGGCGTCGCTACCTCCTTGAAGGGCGGTGGCGGCGAATTAGGGCTGCTGTCAGGGAAGTCGGATCCTTGCATCCCACGGATGTGCTCGTGCTTTGTTGTGTTTGTGTCTATCTCTGTCGTACGCTGCACAGGAACAGCCGCATCTTGCGTTGGACCATCTGGAATGGGAACGGGGTCTGATGCAGAGCCTGCAGGGTTTTGAGAGTCAGGACCTGGTGTTTGAGCACGGGCAGAGCTCTGCTGGTCTTGGGGAGTAGTCTCAGGTGCACCGGGCGTGGCGTTCTGTATAGCATTCCTAACTCCTCTTCTCTTCTTTCCTGTTTTTTCTTGTTTTTGAGCAGGGGTAAGAGCAGGATTATGGTTGCTGCCAGGGTCGTCTGCATTGGGGATGGAGTTCGGGAGGGGATTGTCGGCGGTGGTGTTGATGTTGGTGCCTGTGATACCATCAGTGTTCGATGCTTGAACCTCGTCGAGAGGTTTGGGATCGGTAATCGTAGACCTCGTAGTTAGAGCGTCAGGAAGGGTGGTTGTCTGAGAGGGGTGCACGGGTGGGTTTTGAGACGCAATGTCTGACTGGATGGCAAACTCATTCCTGGTATATTCCACTGCAAACCCACCCACAAAAGCTTCGGGTGCAATTACCTCGGCAGAAAGCCCGCCTACGAAAGCTGCTCCTCCAGTAGTACCAGTACCCATCAGAGACTCTGACCTACCGCCGAAGATCGGCTCAGTTCTTGCGCCTTTCCCTACCACTGAACCCACCACCGATTCATCATCATCATCATCATCTGCATGCCTGAGCATTGAAGGTCCAGGGCCTGAACCCACGCGGCGGTGTCCTGTCACTGCGCTGGGCTGAGGCTGTCCTTGTCTAGAAATTGGTCGCTCCCACTCAGCCGTGCTCGCCTGATGTTGAGTAGCATCGATTCCCACGTCCGACGTAGTCTTGTCGCTTCGCACGCGGCTCAGTATATTCTTCGCGCCAAATAGGGAGAGGACACTGCCCATGACGGATGCCGGCCGTGATTCTGGCAGCGGCACTTGGTGAGCAGCGATTTTAGGGAGGGCGTTGATGTGCATGCGAGGTGTTGGAGAAACAACTTCGATATTTGCGGTGATCATTTGACTTTCAGATGTAAGTGGAGGAATGTCGAGTACACTTAGCTCTGGGTCCTGCTCTTGTTCTGGCGAATATGTAGATACACTAACGTGCACCCAGCTGTCATCTTGGATAATTATAGGATCGTGTCTCGAAGGCCCAGCATCGGAGAGGTGTGAAATATGTTGGGAGTGCAGGTTGACAGGTGGAAGACATGCGGGATCGACGGCGGTTGATATGAATGCTGGGGATGGACCTGGGACGACTTCGCGAACGCGACTGAGCTCAGAGTTCGTTTCAGAAAGGGCAGGACGGCCGGGGTACATCCCGAGTGGCATACGTCTTTTGTGTATTTGTTGGGAGGGTGAAGCGGGAGGTGCAGCGCGGGTACTCGAAACAACAGATGATGGTGGAGCACGTCTAAACAAGCTTCGCACGGGATATTTGATGGAAATCTTCGGTACCTGGAAGTCATTCTTGACCTTCCATCGCGGCATGGTCTTCATTATAGATTTCACTTCCCTCCTCAGTGCCTTATAGACACTCTTCAACCCTGTATCGCGCCATATTCCGGGAGCGACGTCTGCAAGGAGGAGCCCGACCAGCGTCCATGCGCATGTGAGGGCAAAGCGAGAAAGTGATTGTGATAAGTAAATGTCAATTGCTACGCGCGTAGCAAGGGCGAGGTATGGGTCTTTTGACCTCGATCGAGAGCGGGTGTGCTTTGAGAGGAAGTGCGAGAGCACGACGCCTTCCCAGAGTCCGATAAGTATGCCTTGCAGCGAAGTTAGTTAAATATATTTGAAAAAAAAACCCCAAAGACTGCTCGAGACCAACCTACGAGTTTGTGATCTTTGCCTGTTGCAACGTCGAGCACGACGCGCAGAGCGACGCCTGCCCCGATTGATAGTATGTTTTCCATGTCTTTGGTGAATGCATAAGTACTGTGTCAAGCTCAATAACAATATTATTGTTGTGCGTTCGGCAAATTCCGTACACCAACCAAAGTCTACATCCGGATTCCCATCTCAATCAGATATTCCAGTGTGCCACCTCATTTGTTTCTAGTGTCTTCAAGCTCTCCTAACATATGGCAAACAGCTACCCTCTCATCTTGTATCCTTCACCTAAGGCAGGATAATGCCTTAAGATCCTTCCCTGAACCCGTGGAAGGTGCAAATCACTGGTCATTCCATTCTCGTGCATTCAGTCTTATATTTTACAAGATTAACTATTCAAGCATATGTCAAAAAATCAGCCACCACTTGAAAGTATCTCGCCTGGTCCTCCTCCTCCAAGAATGGCATGTGACGCTGCGAAAACTGTGCCCACTTCACATGCGGGATTCTCTGGAAGAAAGGACTCATGCAGACGTCCTGCGCTTCGTCCATCACACCGTTGGTGAGCAGAGTAGGTGTTGTGATTGTGTGAAGCTGATCCAGACACGACCATGACTTCAGCGTTCCCGTAATCGTGAACTCTGACGGTCCATTCCTGGAATCCATGATCAGTACATATCAGAAAGGTCCGTCAAGATATCACCTACATCGTATGATACACGGTGGGATGTTGCATCATGGCCGCAAAGGACGTTTCCATCACCTTTGGCCAGGGGCTCTTGCAGACATGTTTTTCAAAGAAGATCCCTACCATTTTTTCATATTCAGGACTATCCGTTGTCCCCTCTTTTTCGTGCCTCTCAATCGTCTCCCTCACATCCGCTGGCAGCGCTTTCAGCAGCTGGCGGGTGCTCTGTTCCCACAATGCCATGGACGGCGTTCCGCTGGTGATGACGAGGTGTTTGAGACCCACAGGATGTCTGTGGCTGGCGTAGTGTGCCCCTAGCATCGCTCCCCAGGAGTGACCTAGAAGAGCGAAGCCATCCTGGACACCAAGGTGGGCAACAAGGTTTTCCAGCTCATCCACGAAGAGATCAACGGCCCAAAACTCTTTGGGCTTGTCCGCCGCACCTTCAAAAAAGGACTTTCCGATGCCGATCTGGTCGTAAAAGACGACAGGGATGTTACATTTGTTGTGAATTTCGGCGAGAGGTGTCATGTACTCATGCGAGAAGCCGGGGCCGCCGTGCAGCACGATGAGAGGGTGGGCACCCGAAGTGAGATCGCCGACGATTTTGTACCAAGTCTGGTACGTGTCATCTCCGACTTTGAAATCTACTTTGCCTGTAACTTCGGTCATTGGAAGTTGGACGTATGGGGCGTGTTTCGAGAGCGAGCTAGCAACGAGCAGACGCAACCCTTTATGTACACCTGAGAAGGATGTTTCGACGTTCAAAATGGACTATTTCGGCTGTTTGTCCATCGCCCGAGATGAAACGGCGGTGTTTGGGAGGCTGATCATCATATCAGTCGTGCTAGCGCTATTTATGATTCTTCGAGGCTTGATTTCGCAATTGGTCTTGGAAAATATATTCATCCAAAACTTTAAACACGCGAATGCGGCGTTAAATCAGCCTGGCATGGAAGAGAATCTTGAAGCTGTGGACTAGGCTTATTGTTCTATGGAGGTCGATATGGAATTTGGATGAAATGGGCGCTCAACTTTACTTGATGGCCATGCACATCGTGATGTGAGCGCGGAGTTGCAATATATATGTAGCATATGGTCACCATCATTCCGCGGTGATTTGAGCAGTTCCCTTGTTTGAACTTGTTTCCATGATGGTCTTGCACTGATGACTGACACGGCGTGGGTAAGTTATCTACAGCATTGCTTTATGGCGGTGATTAACTTACCTGTTCTGTATTCAAGTTTCAACGGGGAGATTTCGAGCAGTACTAGTATCGACAAATATTGTTGCTAAGCGTCCGAGTCAGCATCACGAATCGTTCACGATCGCAGGAAGGTATGTGGCTGCCACCCCAAGTCGCACGAGCATTGGATGTAAGTTAATACCACGCGAGATTACACTGACTGTTAGTACAAGGTATACGTACACTCAGTACTACAGCATGTGCACACCAACTGGTGTTGGACGTCAAATAGGCTTATCTCGTAAGAAGATGATTCTATGGCATGGAGTCAGGGCCGCCGAGCGCCGTTACGATACAGGAATACTACGGTATGTATTGTCAGCAAGTACAATCTTAGTAGTATACTAATTTGTTGCTGAGGAAGCCTACTGCCACTAATGATCTACAAGATGTCATCGTCTCATCTGTTATTCCCACAGGCTATACCATCCACGCCGTCAGAAGTCCAGGTACATTTAGTGACGTCTGTTGCTGCCACTGAATCGCGTGAATACCACAGACAAGAGTAAGACGTAGAAGCTGGTGTTGAGCACGCTCATATTATTGAATGATAGTACCGTCGCCTAAGACTCGCTGGTTAAGATGCGTCGTCTTATTCCAAACAAGGTTAGTTGGGCCCCTTTAAATGTTAGCTCGGCGATGGGGGGATGCATTGGTTCAGAATTCGGGAATGGTTTTTCCAAAACTTCGAATGTGCCAAGTCGCATGATGTACGGTAAGTACTGACCATTACTAGAAAAAATCCCTTCTCCCCCTTGGTTTGGCACGTATGCTTAATTGCGCGAACCTTGAAAGTCACCTCACCATGTTCAAAACGGCATGGATGGGCGGACTGGTGGGAACACACACCAGAGCATTCATGAACCTAGAGACACGATGGGACACAGGCTTCCCAGATTTAACCTTGCGCTGCATCGAGCCTTTAAAAGCCACAGGACCCCGCGTCACCAGTCATATCATTTACTAGATGTTCAAATTCATCAGCCAAGTCCTACGTCATCACCGGGGACTACTCACAGGCTATACCATCTTCATCGTCACCCAGATACATTTATTTGCCACTGTGAATCGCGTGAATACCACAGATAAGAGTAAGACGTAGAAGCTGGTGTTGGGCACGCTCATAGTGTTGAATGATACCGTCGCCTAAAGTTCGCTGGTTGTCTTATTCCAGATGAGATTAGTTGGGCCCTTTTACATAAATGTCAGCTCAGCGAAGGGGGGATGCATGGGTTTAAAATTCGGGAATGGTTTTTCCAAAAATTTGAATATGTCAAGTCGCACGACGTACGGTACTAGTACTGACCGTTACTAGACAAATCCCTTCTCCCCCTTCGTTCACGTATACTTAACTGCGCGAACCTTGAATGTAGGCGCGGTAGGACGCAAGCTCCCTAGATTAAAATGTATTGTCTTACATAGAGTTCTGCCATCATCATCAAGTATAGTCGTGGTAGTATAATTTCTCACTACCCACTCAAGTGATAAACTGGAAATACAATTTGTTGTTGAAGGCTACTGTCACTATATGTGTATAGTGATGATCATATACAAAACGACCGTCCCGTCTACTGATCCATTATTCTTTACATCAACTTTCAACCTTTCCGCTGCATCCAGCCTTTAAAAGATTTGGGCCGGGCGGGGATTACTACCCACTCCTTCTATTACTACTAGAGGTTCAAATTCATCAGCCAAATCTTACACCATCACCGGGACCTACTCACGGGCCATACCATCTACATCGTCACTCATGCACTTGTCACAGTCCATGTCACTGGTGATGGGTGCTGCTAGGATTTGCACGAAGGCCACAGACAAGAGTAAGATGTAAAAGCTAATGTTGGGCAGGATCATGGTAGGATTGAATGATACTGTTGGCTAAGACTTGTTTGGTTAAGGTGTGTTTTTGTGTGCCAGATGAGAATCATGAGATTGTAGTTGGGCCTTTTTATACATCAGCTCGGCGAGAGTTTACCCAAGGTTTACCCAAGTGAAGCACGTTGCTTTGGGATTTAGAGATAGTATTTTTGTCAAAGGTAAGATGGAAGTCGGCGTTTAAGCTTCAAGTTCGGTGCACAGCGATTGGCTGATACAGACTTACTACTTACCATGGCTCTATTAATCGTAAGTATTGCCTGGCGGTAAAGGTTTCAAAGTACTAGTACTGACCCATATCTGAAGCTTGAAGGCCGGGATGACGGCACCTACAGGGTTTTACTGTTTTGGGATCCAACATCACAATGCTGATGCATAGCACCTCCGAGCAAAGACATGCCGTCACTTTCGGGTCAACTTTGAAAATAACCTGACAATTGTTTAATGCAGTTGCTGCCATAATGAAGTAGTTCGATCGAAACAGTCAACGATGAGCTTGAAGGAGCGGCTGTTCGAGTAGTTCCTCCTATCAAGATAGCGGTAAAACCATTCTACGACTTGCGCAAGCCAGAAAACATCAACACTTCAAAACAAACTTTATCGGCTATTCGTACCATACTTACCTATTTTCCTTAGGTCGTACATAGTCGCAGGATAGGCCGTAGAGCAACAGTTTCCGTAAACTGGCGAAATAATTTGTTGTTGAAGGCTACTGTCACTGTATAGTAATCAAATACAGAATGATGACCGTTCCGGCTGCTGTTCCATTATTCTTTACATCAACTTTTAACCTTCCGCTGCATTGAGGCTTTAAAAGCAACTCGCTCCTTCTTTTGCTAGAGGTTCAAATTCATCAGTCGAGTCCCACACCATCGCCGGAATCTACTCACAGTCTATACCATCCACATCGTCACCGGTCCTGCGACATGCCGAGCCACTAGTGGCGACTGCTGCTGGGATTCGCGCAAAGGCCACAGACAAGAGTAAGATGTGGAAGCTGATGCTAGGCAGGATCATGGTATTGAATGATACCGTTGGCTAAGTCTCACGGGCTAAAATGCGTTGTTGTATACCAGATGAGATTGGTAGTTGGGTCCTTTTAAACATCAGCTCGGCGAGGGGTCACCTAAATGAAGTGCGTGGGTTGCAACTCAGAGATAGTAGTCGTTCCTCGTATTCTTGTCAAAGGTACGAGGGAACTCGGCACTCAGACTCGGTGCACAACAGTTGACTGATGCGGACTTACTAGTATGGCTGTACTGATCATAAG